GTGAAACTATTTGGAATCATTTTGAGACCTGGATTTTTAGTCCTCCAAAATGTTTGGGGGTGTCTGGTGTTGAGGTTTTGGTTTATCCCATTATATAGATAAAAAAATCACAGCAACTGTTATTGGACTTTTGGTCCAGATTTTCACTGCATCTCCCCCCAGCCATTCAAAGTCAGGGATGCTGAGATCTGAGACCACCCCTGGGTGGTGGGGATAGTCTGACGAGACTGCCTACAATGGCATGTAGCCAATCTGCCACTGCTAGCAGCAACTATCTCCAACGCTTGGTGATGGGATCCGAGATGGGGAGGGCTCTGAATTACTACAGCAAATTTTCTCCAATGTTTCTGTCTGGTGTGTCTTGCCCACATGCTCAGGGTCAATTGATTGTCATATTTGGGGTTGTGAAGGAATTTCCCCCTGGGTCAGATTGGCAGAGAGACTCGGGCTTTTTTTTTTTTTTTTTTTTTGCCTTTCTGTGCAGCCTGGGGCATAGGTCACTTGCAGGTTTAAACTACTGTACAGGTGGATTCTCTGTAACTTGAAATCTTTAAACCATGATCTGAGGACTTCGGTAACTCAGCCAGAGATTAGGAGTCTATTACAGGAGTGGGAGGGTGAGGTTCTGTGGCCTGCAAGTGCAGGAGGTCAGACTAGATGATCATGATGGTGCCTTCTGGCCTGATAGTCTACGACAGCACAACAAGTCTTTCCCTCTCCTTTTCCCCTGGGCTGAACACTGTCCCCACTTGATATAACCCAGCATGGAGTGGGATGCCTTCTGTCAAAGGGAAGTGCTGTTCCTGGTACCCAGGGAGTAATTACAGCTGAGTCAGCCAGAATTCTCCCAGGGCTCCTACTGCAGTGCAGTCCCTCCAGCCTCCAAAACAGACCAGGACTTCAAAGTCACAATTTGGTCCATAGAAATAGAAAATACAGAACAGAAGGCAAAGAGAATCCTACAGGGAAACTAATTTTAAAAAAAAGAGATGTCTTGAAATATCCTTTGGGACGGAGAAGATTGTGAGGGAACATCATTGAAATATATAAAATTATGGAAAGTGCAGAAAGGACAGCTTCTGCAAAGGCATTTGAGCTACTGTCAAAGAGCACAAATGAAGCATAAATAATTCAGTCAGAATTTTCTTACATGGAGAAAAATATAGACTTGAGTCGGTACCATGGAGAGCAACACAGCTCATAAAAATAAAAAGTATGTGTCAGGGATGGGTACAGAATAAAAACCCTTTTAAATCCAAGAAGGGGTGAGCTTAGTTTATGTTCCTGACTTCCTCACTGAACAATATTCTGTTCCTGGCTGCTGTCTTCACCTCATTGAAAATATTGCCCCATGCCTCTGTACAGCTTCCACTTCATGGGATAACTCTAGTGTCAAAACGAGATGTGGAAATAATAACAGTCACAATTATTCAAAAATGGGAATTTTGACACAAGTGTGAAATGATGAATTTGGTGTTCCAGAATGGAACTATTTTCTGTGAAATCAGTTTGGACTTGGTAGTAAAACTGGTTTACAGCCAATTTTTTGTAATTTTTTCTAGTTATGTTAATTCACAAGGGTAGAAGATGATATGGCAAAATCAAATGATAAAAAATGTCATTACAATGTTTCAGCAGTTTCTCACAGCCCTGGATTTTGTAGGCATGAGCTTGCTCTTAAGCAGATGCTCCCACTCATGCTAAAATGTGTGGTGATTTTGTGATGTGAAATGAATTCACCCACACTCTGATTTGAACTTGAGCTTAGCTTGCCAGAGATTAGAGGCTTCTGAGATAGTGTGGTCCAGTAATGGAAAGTTCTAAGAATCAGGAGACCCAGGTTCTAACCTCATCTCTAGTACAGACCTGTTGTGTGATCTTGGGCAGGTTACCTCATCTCTGTGTGTCTGAGTTTCCCCATTTAAAAGAAAAGATATTTGCCTTCCTTTGTAATGCATTTTAAAATCTATAGATGCTTTATGAGAACACTAGTATTACTCTTAGTGCATTAATGTACTGTGTACCTTCCCCCATAAGGTACATTCCTAACAGCTTTGCAAAGCATTGGGAAAATGTGATTTAAAAGATAAGTTATTTCATTAACTTTTTATCTAGCCAGTTCCCCTAAAAATATGAACTAGATTAAAGGCCCCACTCCCTCCTGAAAGGTAAGACATCATTAATACCATTCACCCTATGAGCAAAATATTTCTCCCATGAGAAATAAAATCTCATTTCTATAAAAAGTGCAATGAGATATTATGCCTCCGATCCCACAGAAGAAAAACTGAGCTCCCAGCATATTTCAGTTGGTCCAAAAACAGAATTGGACCTCAGCCTAAATGCCTCCTCTGTTTTTAAGTTTTCTTTATTTCATTTCAAATTATTGTTTCTTCATAGCTTATTTTGCATTACAGATAAAGCCACAATTTTTTCCTTTAAAGATAAAATTTTATTCTTTATGTCAACAAAAGTGCTGCCTTCCTCATGTATAAATGTCTACAAGTGATATTCTTCTCCTGCCGCCACCTTCTTAGACATATTTTTAGGATAGTCCCTTAGAGGTTCAAATTGTGATTCTTTATAGCATGGCAGGAACATTTGTTGTTTCTTTTCAATTACATTGTTGCGATAAACTAGACATTCTTAAGGTTCTGATCTCCTTGTGACATCACTATAGAGGAATGTTAACTTTTCCCCCGTTACGTCTAAGATTGTTTTAATTTCTGTTCTATATGATTCTCACTAGCTTGGCTCCATGCCTTGTGAGCAATTGTCTGCAGTACATTTTGTGTGTTGCTTCCATACATACAATCTAATTAGCTCTCTAGCTGTCTTTGTAAATTACTCTTAGCATAAATTCTTTTGTCTGTCTGACCATGTGGTTAAGTAAAATTCAAAATGTACTGGTTTAAGTACAGCTAACTTTCTAAAAGTGGGAGCAATGTGTGCATCTGCAGAAATACACATGTACTCACTACATCCACAAAACCCATATCTGTGAACCCAAATCATATAACAGAACTCCAGTCTGCCTGACCTGCATAACCATTTTTAGCACAATTATGGGGTTTTGCAGCCATGATAGTGTGTCTGTATTTGTAGGTTTATCCATTGCATTTGTGTTAAAACACCTGACCCATAAAGTCAAGACACTATTGGGTTTTGTACTCTCCCATAAGAAAATTAATTGCAATACATGTCCATATGCATCTGGGCCCTGGTTTCCAACTGATGCACATAAATCTGGCCACTTATAACCTGATCCTGTTTCCATTAAATTCAGTGGCAAAGCATCTCTTGACTTCAGTGGTATGGGATCAGGCCTCTAGTTTGCATGTGCAATTACTATGATTGTATGTTTAATCATGATGATAGTGTTTAAATGACCGGTTAGATGTTTGGGGCCAAATTTTCATAAGTGCCTCTAAATTCTCAGTGCCTTAGTCCTTGGGTGCTAATTTCTAGATAGTTAGTTCATAGGAATTAAAGTCAATGGAAACTCTGGATCCTTAGCACCTCTTCAAAAAATCAGACCCAAGGTGTCTAGTGTTGAGCACCCAAAATAGAAGCTATTTTTCAGCAGTTGATCCTTACCTAGGCATTTCTGTACATAAACATTGGAGATGCCAGACCGGATCAGATCAGTGGTCCAGCTAGCCCAGTATCTTGTCTCTGACAGTGGCCAGCACCAGTTGCTCCAGAGAAAGGTGGAAGAATCCTCAAGTGCAAAATTCGGGAATAATCTGCCCATGGAGAAGTTTGTTTGTAACTTCAGGCAGAGATTGGTTTATGCAGTTTTTTACCCTATCTAAAGTAACTGAATACTGCTAAACTCTTGGCCTCAGTGTGGTCTTGTTGCAATGAGTTATATAGGTTCATTGTGCTGTGTACATTCCCATGTAAACAGAATGTTCCTTGGTATCAGTTTTAAATTTTGTATTCTTCAGTTCTATTGAAAACTGAAAAATTTGTTTCTTGAGAGAGACAAGGTGGGTGAGGTAAAAAAATTGGTTTCTTGAGAGAGACAAGGTTGGTGAAGTAAGATCAACTTCTCCTGGTGGAAGGGACAAGCTTTCAAGCTTCACAGAGCTCTTCTCCATATGATGAGAGAGGTAAATAGGAGTGACTGTTTTACCATCTTTATATTCAGTATTTTGAATACCTCTGTTGTGACCTCATTTATTTTTCTCTTCTGTAACAATCCTAATCTCAACTCTCACCTCAGTTTCCCTAGTCCTGTCAATCCTTGGCCCCTCTTCTGAGCAGACCAGGAAAGCTACCATTTAGTTCTAAGCGTGGGGTTGGCTTTTGTGATCTGGACACTTCCCTATGGCCTGGGCTATGCTGGTGCGGGGCGGAGGGGAGTGTTCGAACAAAGATACGCAACTTCCACTATGCTATTCGCATAGCTGAAATCAAAGTATCTTAGTTCAAGTTACCTGGCCATCCTCACAGCAGTGAGTTGACCGTGGCGGCTCCCCCGTCAACTCCACTTACTCCTTCTGCCAAGGTGGAGTACAGGCATTGATTCGGGGATCAATTTATCACATCTAGATGAGACGCAATAAATTGATCCCCGATAGATCAATCACTACCTGGCAAGTAGTGAAGACATACCCTAAGAGGATGAAGGCTGAGATCCAGAAAATGAAGAATGTTCATGTTATGTGTAAATCTCATAACAGATTATATTAACTTCAGTGAATAATAAATGCCTACTATAAATAAAAGGTAACCACAGGATGTAAAGGTAACACCTTAAATACCAAAAGGAAATCATGGACAAATTTATGGATAGCACCATGATGGTCTTTGATACAGCTGTATGTGTTCAATTAACCAAAAAGCAGCAAATGGAAAGCTCAGTTATAGTACATCTGCCCACTTGTGTTTTCCACTGCCTTAGGACAGCCATATTCTTCTCCACTTAACCACACATGAAACACTTAGTACTTTTATTCATCTTTGACTTGACTCTTTTTCTTTTCATCTTTCAGATGATCATTCAAGAGTGAGACTGCAGCTGTTGGATGGAGACCCTCACTCAGACTACATAAACGCCAACTACATAGATGTAAGGGCTGGGTACATACCTTGCGTGACAGAGAACCATATCAGCATATCTGCGTGTGGGTGTGGTACCTCTTTAGGCTATCTCTACACGAGTAGCTGGGGGGAGATTCACATCCTGAGGAGACATACTGACACTAGCTCTCAGTGCGCTAGTGTGCTAAAAGGACAATGAAGCCATGCCGGTGTGAGCAGCGGGATGGGCTAACTGCCCTGAGCGCACGTCTGGGGTCTCTGGCGGGCATGTACCTGGGGCAGCTAGCCCCTCCCATCACTCGCACTGCCATGACTGTGTTCTATTTTTAGTGCACCAACTTGATGAGAGCTAGTGGGGGTATGTCTCCTTGGGCTGGGGGGTCACACCTCTCAGCTCCAAGTGTAGAGAGACCCTTAGAGAGAGATTAACTGCCTCATTCTTGTTTTCTCTCTGGTACCATCAAATCCATGCTATGAAAACTCCAAACGTTTCATGGTAGTTGAATTATTAAAGAGGACTAAAGCAGTTCCTGCCATTTGTAATTCCTCAAAGGGACCATGTGACTCATGTAGGGTTTCTATGTACCCATTAGTGCTCGTGCCTCATTCACAGCACAACAGCTGATTCTAGCCAGAAGAAGTAAAATTCATGCCAGTTTGCTCACTCTGACGTGTGATTTTTATGGACCTTCCTGATTTGTTTTCCCTTCTCTTATATTTTCCCAGGGATACCACCGGCCTCGTCACTACGTTGCAACTCAAGGCAAGTGGCAGTCTCCTGCATCTAACTATTTCTCTAAAGACAATGATGTGCTAAGCTAATCCAAGAGCCATTCCCAGAGTAAATCTCCTGTGTTTTAATATCTGTAAGCTTAGAGTGGTATTCAAGCACAGAAAATAAAATCAGACACATTCCAGTACACTGCTTGTGAGGATATTTGAAACATACTCAAATGCACAACCAGAGCTAGATTAACATAAAGAACATCTAAACCTATGGGTAGTAGTCAAGTCAATAATGAGTCATTTGTCCAGGAAGAATGAGGTCAGAGTAAGTTGTGCACTGGAATGTGATTGAGGAATTGGCTGTGTATTAAGGTGGGTCAGAATTGAAAGGGAGTTTGTTATGGAGCTGAAGAATCTGAGAGTGTGTTTGTTTGCATGGTCAGGCCTGTGGGAGGAGGTTGGTGTGTTTATGACTACATCCATAACTGGTGTCTTCCTGGATTTGCAGTGGACTAAGTAGATAGAAAATGTAATTGAGCAGCCTCACCTGTAAGTTGGTGAAGATTTTGTGGGGGACTTTCCCACCACTTAAAAATACCAGCAACGTGAAGATTCATGTTGCTAGCTATGAACATTGATATCTATTTCTCCATGCTTCCCCTCTACAGAGCCCTGATGTCCCTACTGCCCTCCCATTCCCTGCTACACCATTACCAGCCATACCCCTTTGCCAGGACCCCTTCCCTCACCACCAGTTATGCCCACTCCCTCCTACCTTGCACCTATGCCACCCCTTGAACTGGCCTGCTCCCAGGCCCCTTCCATGTCTATGCAATGGTAGATTTTAATACATACAAGCAGACTAGAGATGAGGACTGAGGTCACACGGGTACAGGGAGTAGAGCTGTACAGGGAATCTGGAGGGTGGAGCATAGAGACAGTGATAGTAGACACAGGTTTGGGGTAGGAAACAGGCTTTCATCTGCAATGTACGGGAGGAGGGAGAAGCAAGCTCAGAGAAGCTCTGCCCTAATAAACTTCCTGTGGTGACTTAACCCCAGAGCCACAGGGGCACATCCATAATGTATTGGATTGATCATATGTATCTATTTGCGTACTGTATCTCTCTCTAGTACTTATAATGCATCCATCACCACAGTTTCTGCAGTCCTGGAGCCTTAAAATCTCACCCACCCTGCTGGAGAGAGTATCTGTTTTATTAAACAAGTCAGTATTGTTCAGTGGATGTCACCTTGAAGATCAAGGAAATACCCTGTAAGAAGGGTGAGATTTAAGGTGAACAGGGCTGTAGGCAGAGAACAGCTGAAAAGGATTGCTGGCATTAAACCTACCCTTTTAAGATGTCCTTTTTTCTCTCTTCTCCTGCCCCAGGTCCCATGCAAGAGACGGTTAAGGATTTCTGGAGAATGATTTGGCAGGAGAATTCTGCAAGTGTTGTCATGGTCACCAACCTGGTGGAAGTTGGCAGGGTAAGGAGGCTGTATTCCCAGTGCTCTCCACCACTTCCTCACCAGATGCAGCCAAAATAGTAGCAGACGTAGTAACTTTCTACTGTTCTGAGTATCTTGTAAATGCCTTTCAGTGACTACACTTTGAAGAACAAGATAATAGATTAAACCACTCAGGTTTCTTCTTTAAAACTGCACTCTAATTTTCTTATTTCCTAGCTGCTTCCCCTCATCTCTGGTAAGCACCTTTCCCCATTGTGTTTTTATTTCCTCTAGATGGAAATATATTGGGCCAGATCCTCAGCTGGTATAAATCAGTTTAACTCTTGAATTCAGTGGAGTTACACCAATTTGTACCAGCTGAGAAACTGACCCTTTTACTACAGAAACAAAGTAGAGTTCTGTGTAATTTATGTGACTTATTCTTTATCCGCAAAGTTCACATGAGCAAGAATATGGGATATTTCTTTAATCTGGTCTCAGTGACTGTTGAAGGATCAGTGTATCAATGGTGAATAGCAGAGGTGCTAGGTTTTTAAGGTTTGGATCTGCGACCCCACCTCCGCCAGTTAGGCGCCATGTACAAAGAGAATGGTGGAAACAAGAGCCAGGGGTATAAAGAGTCAGGATAGGAGAACTTATCATGGCAAATCTATGCTTTTAAAGATAACCAAGATGCTTGTGGCTCCAGGGAATGGGTTTGGAAGGGGCCAAGTAGCTGTGCCAGTCAGGTAGGCCTAATTGTTTCTGAGGATCCTAGCAAGCCTAACTAAGGCTAGGGTTTGCTCTTCCCCAGCAATTCAAAGGGAATAATCCCTATTCAAATTGCATGGCCTTGAAATGGCCTTTACTTCCTCCTTTTCTTAACCCATTACAATGTCTTCTATCCCATATTTCCCCATCTCTTTTATCCCACCCTTGTTTCCTACCCTGCTCCCCTATGTTCCCCACTTCCTAGCTCCTCTCGCCTCAATGTCCAGTTCTCTCTCCCCACCCCCCTTTTTAAATAATTTTACTTGTTTGAGGTTTCAGAAATCCTTCCTTCAAAAATTTATTTGGGCCACAATGTTGAGAGAATTATCCCCATATCCCACTTACTCTGGATACTGGTTCCTTGCATGCTGAAGTAATCTCTTCAGAAATGCCAATTAGTACATGGGGAGCTCCTTTCTAGAAACTGCTCGTTTACTGACACTGAGGGGCAGACGGCTGACACAGGAGGGGTTGACCAGATTGAGGTTACCACGGGCATAAGGGTGGTATTTGAGCTGTTAGTTTCTCCACTGTACTATAGATGCTTTGTGATTAGGACACACAACAGATGTAGCCATGTGAGTCAGAGCAGCTGCTGTCAGCCTTGTTCAGTGTTTCTGTTTCAAGTAGCCACCAGGCTACTGAAATGTGTTGGTACCGATGGGCAAAACTGAAAAGGTTGGGTCCTTTTTCTGATGAGTACTCAGAAATGTGGATGCTGCTCTGAATTGGTCAAAACAATTACGTCTGCAAAACTGGGCTGAGAAATTTGTGAGAACAGACTCACTTACAGTATGTCAGGGCTCCAGATTTCAGTCCCAGTCACAATGTTAGAAATAATTACAAATGTAAAAACATTTTTATGCAGTTAAGTGAACTTCTTTGAACATTAACTAAAGATCCAGTTTTTGGATTGGACTTGAATTACACAATCCATTACCCCACCCATCCCTACAGTCTATTTTTTCTTCTTGTAGGTGAAATGTGTTAGATACTGGCCAGATGACACAGAGGTCTATGGAGATATTAAAGTCACATTAATTGAGACAGAGCCATTGGCAGAGTACGTCATACGCACATTTACTGTACAAAAGGTAAGGAAGTCCCCAGTCAATTTTACTTCAGACATAACACCTCACTTAGGATCTGAAGCATGGTTCCACACAGACATAACCAGGAAGCTTGTGGATATGGGAGGGTTAAATTTTGACTTGTTTTCTACCTTAGTAATCCGATTTTTATGAAGCATCTTCCAAGTTCATATCAGCAATTAGATGAAAGCATAAATAACTGTGGATACAATTCATAGCACTCAAGTGTCTAAATGCATCTATGAATCCAGTAGGTAGATGTCTACATGTCATGAATAGTGACTATAGTTATTCACACTGGCAAATTGCGGGTGGGGGGTGGGAAAGCACCAGTAAAATTAGATCCCAGGCAGAGGCTCTTTTAAAAACAAATAAAAAATAACATTCAGGGTCTAAATATGTATATTCTTCCGAAATCTGCAGTTTAGTGGAAGGTTTTTGTGAAGCACCGGTGGAAATTGGAAGCCTAAATAACAGACCATTGCAGGTCTGCCCAAATCACACCTCACACCCTTGATAAGCAATTTTAAAGCTTTCTAAGAAAACTCACACCATTCATTAAACCTCATCACAGCTACACTGGAATATGTTCCAGTTGCTAGTGCCCTGATTTCATATTTTGTTGAACCACTGAACTGTTTGGCAAGAAATAACCAAAGACAGGTCTGGCAGATCAAAGGGCTTGGTAATCGAATATGGAACCCTGCAATCTCTGTGCCATAGCCCAAAATGTCAGCGACAAAATGGTGTAACTAAGTGGAAGCTCTTTGGCAGCATGTGTGTGGAGTAAACTGGTGGTGATGGTCCAGTTCCTAGAGAACAGGTACCTGTATCAGAACAGACAGTGACTGATGTCCTTGTCTGTAGCCTCACCAGAGGCCAAGGATGGGTATGGAAACAACATACCTACCCTCTCAGCACTAGATGCAATCCCTCCTTCTCAGGGTTGAAATGCATTGATGGGTGATTTTTGGGAAGCTTTCTCTTTTGCAGCCTGTGCCTTAACTGCTCTATGGCCTTCAGTCTCCAGGCCTGTCCGTCATTAGCACTACGTTCACTTCATCGGAAAAAAAATTAATGGAACAGACTGGATACTAGAGAGGAAATGAGCTGGGAATTTGTACCACTAGTAGTTTCTCTTTGCAGGTGTGGTTGAGCAAAGGTACCCTGGCACTGAAGTTACCCCATAATGTTACTGATTAGCTAATTTTAAATTGCATTTAAGACAATACACTGTGAATGGGTAGCGGATAACCACTTTCATAATCCTCAGGCTTATGTGATACACTTCAGTTGTAGTGGAAGGTGAAATCTCTTGATCTTTCACCTTGAAATCTCCAGAAGTGAGAAGTGGTATATGAAATGTGGCTTTATATAATTATGTTTAAATGGTAGTTCAGCCCTCTGAATGAGTAAAGAATGCAGTGAAATACGGTGATTGTGACATGAAGGAAGAAAAATAGAGGTTGCATTGTCTCCTCAGAAAGGCTACCATGAGATCCGAGAGATTCGGCAGTTCCACTTTACCAGCTGGCCAGACCACGGGGTTCCTTGCTATGCCACAGGCCTCTTGGGCTTTGTTCGGCAGGTGAAGTTCCTCAATCCGCCTGAGGCGGGGCCTATAGTTGTGCACTGCAGGTATGCAATCTGTCTGTCTATTTGTCTGTCATTGCTCATTTCTGTCCCAGTCCCCTTAAGTTTTTCCTGTTTCTTTCAACCTAGTGATCACCTCTCTACTTTTTGCTGTTAATGATACAGCTTGCTGGCCTTAGAGGTGAACTTGTGCACAGTGGAACAGGTTCTCCATTGTGCAGTGGCTGCTTTATGCTTCATTGCTGGTGTAAACTGGCCGTGGAACTGGCATCATTGGCCCAGGGAGGATCACTCCAATGAAGAGGATCCTCTGGTGCCATAGGGGCTCTTAGCCCAGTGCCCTCCATGCTGCTGGTGTAGCAGAGGGAAATGGTGCATGGCTGGGATACCCATCCTTGGCTGCAATTTCACCCTTCTGTGACAATTGGCATAACTTAGAGCAGCATCAAGTGAAGGAACTTTCAACCACCTTTGCATGTACACACTTGTACCCCAGCTTCTACTTTTGCTCTTCAGCCACTGGCAAGATCGAGTCCAGGATATCGGTCTTCCTGCTCCCCTGCCTAGTGGGAGATGCCAAATATTGTATATAGTTTTTAGCCTTCACTTAGCCCAGAGCCTGGGAGTTTAATTTCATTCTGGAAATCTGCCATGTAGCTTCCTAAGAGCAACTTAGACCAAAGTGTACCAGGAAGACCTGCTTGTTTAAGAAGAAGGAAGGCTCAAAATATTGGACTACATGCTCACTAACTCTGAGCATTATACAGGTTATTGTTATAATTATGATAGGTATTACAGTAGCCACTAGAGTCCCCAGCTGAGACTGGAGCACCCTAGAGCTAGGCGCTGTACAAACATTTGAGAAAACAGTCCCTGACTGGAAGAGTGAACAAGCTAAAATGTGTGAGACAGACAAAGGGCAGGGGTAACAGAGAGGTAATGCGAGTTGGGCAAGGTCATACAGCCGGTCAGTGGCAAAGCCAGATTCCAGATCTCCTGACTGACTCCAGTTCCCTATCCACTCACCCATGCTGCCTTTCAGGTACAGCCTCCTGCTGACAGACTTGTCAGTCCTTACCCTTGCCAATGTTAGAAAATGACTCCAGGTAAGTATTTGTGTTGGGGAACATAGTGAAATCCTTGCAGCATAGGAACGCTGTTTTTGTTAGTTTGGATCAGACTAGTGGGCCATCAAATCCAGTATGAGGCCAGTGCCAGATGCATTAAAGAGAGTCACCAGACCTCCAGAATTCACATAACCAGTTATGTAATGTCTGATGGGGTGAAAAGTCCCTTCTTCAACCGTGTGACGATGAGCTGATGTCTTGGTAACCCCGCATAGTGAGGACAGAAACAAGTGGTAGTCACAAAATTATCCATTCTTTTTTTTTTTAAATTGAGCTGCATTTGATTTTGTATTTGCATTAATATATGCATATAATAGCACTGTGGCCTCCAACCAGTGAACAAGAGTTGCCAATATCCCATTGCAAGAAAGACATTACCAGAACAGAGAAATAGTATATACCAGCTGTTTCCCCAATGCTTCCACCCCAACAAAACACGCAAACATATCTGTTTATGGAAGAGGAATAGGTGGAACTTCAAGCTAGCAAGGTCCGAGGACACAATTGCTATTCCGTGCTTTCCCCTCCAAACCAAATCAACCATAAGCCAGTTACAAACTGTTGTCCCATACCTCTTAGGGAGTGCGTGTATGAGGCGAGGGGGAAGAGAGAATGAATTCCAAGACCACCCCAAAAAGGGAAATAAATGAATCCCTCTGTTTTTAGCAGGCAGACAGATTTATAGTAAAATACAAATGAAACCCCAGGAGCTGGCAGGTGGTAGCTCTGGGTTTCTATCTGCTCTTTCAGAGCTGTGACCCAGGCCTGGCCTTTGAAAGAGACTGGTCCTGATTCAGCAATGCTGAGAAAGAGGGGAGAGATTTTTCATCCTTCACATTTTAATGAATAAATGCCATTCGCTCTCTGTTATTTATCTGCTTTTGAATTTTAATGACTAGCTCTAAGTGATAATTACCAAATTCTCCCTACCAATGCCTTGCTGGATAATGTCACCGCTTGATATTTATGGACTGCCAGTGACCTCTAAATATAGAAATGTTATAACTATTTGTTAAAATTTTGAAAAGTAGAGAGATAAAGAGAGAGGAAATGCCACTTATTCATTAAAATTCTGCAAATGAAAAATATCTTCCCCTGTTCAGCTCTTGATTAATCTGGCACATTAATTCATGTTCATTCATATCTCCCTGCTTTACAGCACTGTTTGGAGTTTCATACATCAAAAGTTTTCTTGGCTCTAGCTGAGTTTGCCCCTTTCCTCTAGGATAATGGGGAGAAACTTCCTCCTCTCTTTATCTGACACACCTAGACAACTCAGATGACTTCCCCAGTGGGAGAGGGGGCTCATTGACAACACCATTCATGTGAGATGTTTCAAGTCTCACAAGCAGTGGGGGTTCTAAATTTAAGCACTTGAGTAACCCAAAGCTCCCTTCTCTACAGTCTCACAACTCCCACCCTGGACTCTCCCCACCCCAGGTCCAGTTGTCCATGTACCGAATGTAACTCCTACCAGCTAAAATGGGAGAAGGATCTTGCAAGTAGAGAACTGGCCCCTCCTTTCCAACATGTGCACCTGAGTATGGCAGAGTGCTTTTAAAAGTCACATGGGAGAACCCCTTCCAAAATATATTTTCTGAAGCTGCCTCTAATTACAAGAGCATGAGTTTCCTCTCTGTCTCAGTTCACAACAGAGTCAGATGTTCTGTAGCTCGGGTGCTTATGGAAGTATTGCTGGACAGGGCTAGAATATTGTTTTTCATTGATCTTCCTATTAGTGTCCGAGAAACAATTTTTCTTCTTACCCCTCTCTCTTTTCCCCTTCCCAAGAAAACCACCTAGCCTTGCTCTCCCTATGTCTCATGCTATTTCAGCAACACAGAAGACCAGTCCTTCAGTACAGAGGGGCAGCTAATGAAGGAAGACACCTGTGCCTGTAACACACAGATTTTTTTTTCTCCTCTTGACAGCCCTGCCTCTTCATGGTCTATTGATCAGGGCTTCATTCTTTTTTGCAGCGCTGGTGCTGGAAGGACAGGGTGCTTTATTGCCATTGACATCATGCTTGACATGGCAGAGAATGAAGGTGTCGTAGACATATTTAACTGCGTGCGAGAGCTACGATCCCAGAGGGTCAATTTGGTACAGACAGAGGTAGGTGCCAGCAGCTATTTTCTCTTGTTTTACAGCCCTCCTGTCAGCCTCTGCTCAAGAGGAGCCCATCAGTGAGTTAAATCAATGCCTGTTTCCGCCACCAGGTTGTTACATGGAATTCTTTGTAGCTAAACTTGAGTAGGCATGTATTAAATGTTCCCATGTAAAGGCACATATTGAGTGTACCCAAGGCATGAGGATAAATTGTGCACCTTGTTACCCATCTGTTGGTGCCTTGTTCAGTTTTTGTCTTGCATTGTATCAAACTATCTCATGAGTCCTGCTGAGTGTCATTGTACCAGGTTTCCACATGTTGCAGCATGCATTGACCCATCAGAATCCCCATGCCTTATGCTCTTCTATTATACTGCATTTATCATGGTAATATCTGAACCCTTAGCCCTGGTCTACACTACGAGTTTAGGTCGAATTTAGCAGCGTTAGGTCGATTTAACCCTGCACCTCTCGACACGACGAAGCCATTTTGGTCGACTTAAAGGGCTCTTAAAATTTATTTTTGTACTCCTCCCTGACGGGGGGATTAGCCCTAAAATCTACATCGCTGGGTCGAATTTGGGGTATTGTGGATGCAATTCAACAGTATTGGCCTCCGGGAACTATCCCAGAATGCTCCACTGTGACCACTCTGGACAGCACTTTCAACTCAGATGCACTAGTCAGGTACACAGGAAAAGCCACGGGAGCTTTTGAATTTCATTTCCTGCTTGGCCAACATGGCAAGCTCATCAGCGCAGGGGACCATGCAGTCCCAGAATCGCAAAAGAGCTCCAGCATGGATCGAAAGGGAGGAACTGGATCTGATCGCTGTATGGGGAGATGAATTTGTGCTATCAGAACTACATTCCAAAAGATGTAATGCCAATATATATGCCAAAATCTCCAAGCGTAAATGCGAGGTGTTTACAATGCTCACAACTGCAGCAATGATCAGGGTGGGCTCCCGCTTGCAGTGCTATGGCATATGTGCAGGCAATCCAGGAAAAAGGGCAAGAAATGATTGTCTGCCATTGCTTTCACGGAGGGAGGGAGGGGTCACTGACGACAAGTACCCAAAACCACCAGCAGCTACCTTGTCCATTATCTCAATTTTTTTAAATTAATTAAAAAAAAGAATGCATGGTTTCAAAACAATAGTTACTTTATTTCAAAGGGGGGAGGGTGGTTGGCTTACAGGGAATTAAAATCAACAAAGGGAGCAGGTTTGCATCAAGTAGAAACACACAACTGTCACTCCGTAGCCTGGCCAGTCATGAAACTGGTTTTCAGAGTCTCTGTGATGTGCAGTGCACCTTGCTGTGCTCTTCTAATCGCCCTGGTGTCTGGCTGCTCAAAATCGGATGCCAGGCGATTTGCCTCAACCTCCCACCCCGCCATAAACGTCTCCCCCTTACTCTCACAGATATTGTGGAGCACACAGCAAGCAGCAATAACAATGACCAACAGCGCCAGCGAGCTTTTAAACGTCCAAAGGCACATTATACCACCATTTTGCACTTGCTCAGCCTATAGTTGAATGGCTCCTTACTACTGTCCAGGCTTCATGAACCATGGGAGCAAGGGGTAGGTGCGACCACGCAGTGCTGCCAGCTGGGAGAGCAGCCTGAGGCAGAAGCCTCCAGTTTGCAGGGTTGCAGCAGAAGCGGTAGAGCGAGCAAAACACCATTGATGAGGACGGCTAGCAGTGCTATGGCATCTGCGTGGTTAATCCAGGAAAAAAGCCACGAAACAATTGTCTGCCATTTCACGGAGGGATGGAGGGGTGACTGACGATATGTACCCAAAACCACCGGCAACAATGTTTTTGCCCCATTAGGTATTGGGAGCTCAACCCAGAATTCCAATGGGCAGCGAAGACTGCGGGAACTAGCTACCCACAGTCCACCGTTCCGAAAGTCAACGCTAGCCACTGTACTGTGGACGCACTCTGCCGACTTAATGTGCTTAGTGGGGATACGCACAATCGACTGTATAAAATAGCTTCTGAAAAATCGACTTCTATAAAATTGACCTAATTTGTAGTGTAGACATACCCTTACATAATGCTCATTTGATATCAATTAATTACAAATAAGTGAAATATGCCACAAAATACATTTCCCTAATCAATCCAAAGTATTAAAGAGTCTGATTCAGCCAGCTACCTAAGTACATGCACATACTTGAAGCACGTACATGGACCTATTGACTTCAGTGAAACTAGTCACTTGATTGAAGCTGGATATGTACTTAATTACCTTGCTGAATCAGGACAATAGAGCATAGAAAAGAGGGGAACAGTTATAATTCTGCCGGACTCCATTCCCAGGATATAGTCTCTGTAAAGAACACTCTATTTACCATGTGGAAAACCATGCATCTTTCAAATGACCAGTAATCCGAAGTCCATTACAGAACAGAGAGATGGAATAGAGCCGTTGGTGCATCTATTGTTGTTTTTACTGCAATAGCACCACCAGGGTATAATTGCTCCTAACCTATTTGTGGGATCCTTGTCCTAGACTAAATGTTTACACTGATTTTTTCCCTCCGTTATGTCTCTGGGGTCCAGAGGCTTCGCATTTTATGTTTAAATTTGAAAGGGTTTGTACAAGCCACATTTTTAATGGTGGGCAAAACAAGTTCCCTCACAAAATGCTGTTGTGCTTGCAAAAACCTGTAACTGCGCATCTTGTGACCCATCTGCAAGCAGAATTTCTCCGTTTGAATCAACAAACTGCCCATTTACATGCACAAATGTAGAATTTTCTGGGCATAATGAGTGCACTTGAATTTTGTCCTGCTTGAACATTTGTGCTGATGAGACACATTCTGCACAAATCTATGGCACAGGGAATGTATATATGGATCTCGGGCTTTTGTTGCTCACTGGAAACATTGCTGGAGTAGTGTCATCTACTCCTGTGTTGCAGGTTATTATAACTGAATTAAGGGATGCAGTCACCCCTGAGGAGTAGAGAACTGGTTCCAACTATAAGATCCAAGTTTTCCTTTTTAAATTATCTGGTAAAATTATTTTGTACAAAGAACAATACTAACCAGGCCATCTTGGCAGAAGGAATTCAGGGCTAAGACCAGCCTCTCATCAGCAGTAGCTATGCACTCAGCAACTGGTGGAGGGAGCTCATCAAGTTGTATCTTCCACAACATGCATGCATATGCGTGCACACACACACTCACATTTAAAAATCTGTAGTGAGCACAATTTAAACAGAATCAGCATTTACAATTCCATGGTATTTAAGTTTACTGTGAAATTTTGTGATATTTATTTAGAATGGGGTTAATTTGCAACATCTTGTCCCTGTGCTCTGTGCAGGAGCAGTATGTCTTTGTACATGATGCCATTCTAGAGGCATGTCTTTGTGGCAACACAGCAATTCCGGTTTGTGAGTTCCGATCCATATATTACAATATCAGCCGACTGGATCCACAGACAAATTCCAGCCAGATAAAAGATGAATTTCAGGTAAGAGCACCTGGCCCTTTTCATGTCTGCACCAATAGCAGTTGGTGTTTTGCGTATGTGTTTTATCAGTTGTTTTATCTTATTTCATGATTGCCAGTAGTCCAAAAGTGGGTATAATGTTCACTGCTAATATTGCACTTTGCTCCATTCGTGGCCCAATCCTAATTTCAACAAATATTTTTGTTCTTACTTTCACTTCATAGTTTATGTGAAAAAATGTCAGTTTGTGGGTCATTTATTAACGGTTGACTTTGACTGTGCTGTTGATGAGTGATTGTCCAAGTTGCATGGGATTCTTTCTCCACCCTGATTGGATGACTGAAATTTTGTATAAAGGAGAATCACAAGCCAGGAGTAATGCACTTTCCAGTGCAGATTTTCAGGTGCAGAATCATTTGTGCTAAAATGGAATAAACTTTGAGGCTGCACAAACATTTTCACAAATACCTGGTGGCTGCTCAGCAACAATGAACAATGACCCCACAAATAATGGTGGGCTGAACACGCTGCACTTATTCCCTGGAATATTTCTGAATCACTTTTTGTGTTTTCAGCCAACTCTAGTTCATGGGAAAGGCAAGTCTTTGAAAGAAAAGAGGAAGGGAGGGACTTTGGCATTCATTAAATCAGAAGTTATCCAGACTAGCCATTAACAGCAAAGTGCAGAACTCTCTACCTGCAGCAAATCTCCACTGCAATGTAGTGCCTCGACCAGCACCAACCTACAGTAATAATATTCTGCAGTTTTAAGTGATGGCTACTGTGGTGCCAGATTGGAATTAGATGGTTTTCTCCCTTCCCAGCTCTCAACCCTCCATACACAAAGTGAGATCGTATCCTTTCTGTTAATACATGGCACATATTTACCAAGATTTGGGTACAGCAAAACTGTAATTTGAATCCCAATGACTGGCAATGCCATTAATGCATCTGCTTTTCACAAGTGGCCCGTGTTTTGTACAGGATTTCTGGTTCTGGACACCTTACCTGTCAAATGAACCAAAGCCCAGTTTCCTGAAATATAGTGCTTTTAAACAATGACACCGCTGTTTATGCTTATTTTGCCAGGATCTGAGCGAGACAGATTTGTGTCCTGCTCACTTGCTTTACAAGCCGTGGGAGACTGGCAGCTCTTGTGGGAAGGGCTGTTTTTTAGTTTGCTTAAGAGCGTCCTTCTCCATCTATTTGTAGAAAGCTGTGTTTACAGGACATCACTTACACACACCATTCTTCTCAGCCCTAATCGTGTGTACTTAGTAAGAACAGGGAGGGATGCAAAAAAAATATAAGTCGCTGCCATCTTTATGAACCAGTTGAGATAGCTATAGATTTATTATTAATTATTATTATTATTATATCATAATAATTGTTGTTTCAATAGCACCAAGAGTTTTCTGGATGGGTGGAACCCCATTGTCTGAGCATTGCAGAAACATCAGGCCGTGCCTCAAGTAGCTTTTATTATCTGAATGGGAGTAAGATGTAGTGGGCGGGGGGGGAGAGGGCTCGAACACAACGGTGGGGGGACAGCAGGAGAAGACCATACTATTAACAGGAATACAGGGTTGCAGATATCCTTAGCTGAGTGTACAGTTTGGGGGCTTAAACATGTATATTTGTTTATTGGACAAGTGGAAAAGATACTGATGAATTGCTAACCGGGCTCCTGCGTTGGCATTTTCATTACTCAGCTTACCATGGGCATCCTGGCAGAGGTGTGTTTTCATAAGAGATTTGAGATACATTGTTCTTTCTGCCAGACCGTCTAGAAATGGAACTCCATCGTGGACAGGCCTGAGTGAACTTTTGAATTTAGGGACAAACAGTAACATTTTATCTAAGGTACTGATGGAATCACAGATTCAGACATCCCTGCATTTTCAGATGGTTTGAAGTTCATGGTCTAGATCCTAAGTTTGCTGCAGTAATGTCCCACTGTGGCATTCGTGCAGCTCCTCTGCAATAATTTACCAATTCTATGTCTTCTGGAAGTTTGTTTGATAGTCAGAAGGGAGTTTAACTGTGTGAATCAGGCTAATTCAAGAAAAGGTTGTCTGCATGTAAGCAGGAAAAAGAACTATAGCTTCACATAGCCATCCACCTCAACACTTAAGAAAATAGTGCAAGAGGCATCCACTTTGGTGTTCTCCCTTCAACCCCCTACTGAGCTCACGGGACTAGTTTGACAGCAGAGGGGAAGGTTGTGAACACCGGAGAATAAAGACGTTGTCTAGGTTTAAAAGGAGATACTCCCTCCAGCAGGGTGAGAGACAGCTAAGAGGAAAACACTGACCCCCAGACCCAGATATTAGGGGTGCCTAGGAAAGAGAGACCTGCTTCGGGTCTCTACCAGAGGATGGCCAGACCCTAGCTAATATCAACACGCATGTAGACTTTTTGTTGCTTTATAATCCTTGTTCACTTATGTTACACTTTATTGCTACTGTTATGATAAAACAATATTCTGATTTAAGAAGGCTGTCTACTCACTATATTCACCACTGGTCATTGACTGCCCAGGCAAAGAACCACGGTTCCAAACCCATTTGGACCTGCAGGGAAGACTTGCAGGTTCTGAACCTAGCTGGACCTGTTGGGTAAGCACTAACAGAATACCATAGTCCAGGATGACAGATAGGTGTGAGAATCACGATTCCAGCCCCAGGGAAGGTAAAGGCACAAGGCCTGACACCAGTGGGGGTACACTCAGGCAGTGGGTCAGAAGTGTGTCCAGCCCTGTAACCATGACAGCAACTGTAATCTAAATGAGAGAACAGAAAAGTGCCATTAAACCTGATCTGGTGTCTTAGAATTGGATGGTTAATTGTGAAGATGAACATCAGAAGCAAGAAACCTGCCAAACACACAGTGGAGCCACTAGATGACAAAGGTGTTAAAAGGACACTCAAGGAAGACAAAGCCATTGCAGAGAATTCTTTGTATCAGTCCTCACTGCAGGGGATGTTGGGGAGATACCCATGTCAGAACTAGTTTTTTTTTTTGCGGGGGGGATGGGGAGGGGAATCTGAAGTACTGCCCCAAATTGATGTGTCAGTGGAGGAGATTTTAGAACAAATTGATCAATTAAAAAGTAATAAGTCACCAGGACCAGATGGTATTCACCCAAGGGTGAATCTAAAGTCCTGCATCCAAACAGCTCCATACTCGGGGAAGCTTCACATCCGGATCTCAGCTTTGTGAGTCTTTTCAAAATTGAAAGTAAAGGCTACAGAGCATGTTGAGTATCTGTACTCGATGTTTAAGGGCGTCCCTTTTGGAACTCTAAGAGGCTTTGCCTGTACTTCTCTGTCCTCCAATTACAGACCCTCAACATTGTGACGCCGCGTGTTCGGCCAGAAGACTGCAGCATTGGCCTCTTGCCAAGAAACCATGACAAAAATCGCTGCATGGATGTGCTGCCCTTGGACCGGTGCCTCCCTTTCCTTATCTCTGTGGATGGCGAATCAAGCAACTACATCAACGCTGCACTCATGGATGTAAGCACAACCTACAGGCACTGTTAGCAATGGCACCAGTCTCAATTTGTGTCAGGTTTGTTAGGCATCAGTTCATTTCCATGCTTGTGAGAAATCGGTCATACACAAGCTATGCTTGTTTTTCGGGGTTCCTTTTGCTGATATCTTGCAACTAGAGCAGCACCATGCTGATTGTCCCATGGAAAAAAAATTATTGGGTGCTGAGCACCCACCGGCAGCCTGCTTCTCCCCTCCCACCCAGTGCCTCCTCTCTGCTGCTGGCCTCACCAATCAACTCCTCCCCCTCCCTCCCAGTGCCTCCCGGCATGCAGGAGGTGCTGGGAGGGAGGCACTGAAGAGGGGATGGGACGCGCTTGGGGGAGGGGGCCAAACTGGGTGGGAAGAGGTGGGGCAGTAAAAGGCGGGGCAAGGGTGGGGGCTTGGGAGAAGGAGTGGGATGGGATGGGGGGAAGAGGCAGGGTGGGGGTGGAGGCTTGAGGGAAGGCATTGGGTGGGGGGGCGGGGCCTGGGGCGGAGCAGGGGATTGAGCACCCCCGGGGCCCGGAGGAAGCCAGCGCCTCTGCACGTTCATAAACGTGCAGGAATGCATCAGTGGTGTTCTGAGGACATTTTTGATGCCTTCACGTTTCCTTGGCAGAGATCTTTCTTGACCGATGGGCTCAGGGGAGAAAAGCCTGGGGTGCTCTCATGAAGGGGTAGCAGGCGGGTGGAGAAGCTGCATAGGCAACAGTATTTTAAAAAAAAAAAGTTGCAATGCGCTGGGAACCCAACAACCCTTTGATCTGAGCATATAGAGGGAAGAGTGTTGGCAGAGGAATCAGATGTGCCTCACATGTCAGAGCCTAAGGGCCTGCGTGAGGATGTTGTAAACCTGTGTCTGGGGCTGTTTTCTCTCTCCCCCTCATTTTCTTTGCCCGGTAGAATCTAGTTGGGCAGGTCACTTCTTTATTGTAAATAATAGTGATGGTTTCCATTTGCTAAGTTACCCAGAGACCTTTGGGCAGGGGTGCCTGGAAAGGACATTGCTATCGGAGTGTTTGTAAATCTGACACAAGGTGTCATTTCTTCCAACAAACATAGGGAGTTGGTTTGGGGTTTTGTTTTTGTTTTGGATAGTGATGTTCCTGTCTTTTAAGGGGTTAAGTTGAGAATTTGGCAAATCTGCAGAACCACAATGGGTTTTGCTGTGGTTTTGCAGTTGTCTGATGTCAAGGGCCCCCCATGCCAACACCTAAAACATAACAACATCTTGCATTTCTGTGGCACCTTTTGTGCCAATGCACTATTTCATGTAAACAAATTGTTTCATCTGCCATTGAAATCAATCCATTCAGCTGATGTTTTTTCCCTTTCTTTATTTACCACTTTACAGAGAGAGCAAGTCAGTGCTCTTGGGATAAACGCAGCCTGAAACATCCAGAATCCCTTATCACTAATGTTTTTCCTGGGGGAGATGGAACCTTGGGGTGGAATTACTTCCTTTCTTCACTAGCCTATTGTGTGCAGTCTTAAACACATCATGGATCCTAGTGTCACTGTCTGGAGTGGTTCTGTCAGGATCCAAACAGCAAAAAAGAAATGAAAAATGTTCTTGTTCGCCAGCCTTTATTTCCTTCTTCTAGAATTCAGGCTGATGGGATGAGCCTTTTTGCATGTAACCTCTTCATGGATGTCAAGGGGCAATTAACAGTCTTTGTGATGTCTCACAATGGCCCATTTAGTTGATAGCCTTCTTAATGAGCAGGAGATGATCCCTTCTGACAGTTGACAGTTTCAGGGCAAATATTTTTTTGATAGTTGTAAGGCAAAAAACTTAAATATTACCTTATAGCATGTGATAAAGATTTATAGGTGAGATTTACAATTTACAGCATTTCATAAAGTCTAAACACATTATTATAAATCCAATCCCCATCTTAACCATACCAACACACAGGGGAAACAGACTGGTTTCCAGCAATGAATTTGTCAGTGCTCAGCTGAGGCCTAAAGCCTTGGCAGAAGCTGGCTCCTGGTTTGTCAATGTCACACCTAGAATAGCCAGTCCATCCCATCTTGCCTTTATATGAGTCACTAGTTCTTTCCATGTGTTGTGAAGCCTGGCAGGCTGCCTGCCTTGCTCTAAGAGAGGTCATATGATCTCAGTGCTGCTCATTTTTACTTCTCCCATCAGTCATTTCCCATGGGTATCTGTTGCAAGTGCCTCCATTATTATTTTCCCTCTCATCTGAGTTTCAGCATGCTCTGTGTATTATCACAAGGTGGCAGCAACTTTCCTCCAACTGGGGGAGAAAAAAAATCCAATCGCTGGGGTAATGTTGAATGTTTATCTTGGTAGAAGGGGTGACGTTATCCTTGGAATGGATTGCTGATTGAGTTCTGGAGGCACGAACCTCCAACTTCTTTGAAAATAAGGATCTATCAGACATGCCACTGTGTTAGAGAATGGGCCCAAATCTGGCCTAGTACAGAAGCAAGGGACCATGCCCAAGTCTCAAACTCAGACCTTTAAGAAGTTGTCACAGTCTTGTGGTTCAGGCAGAGGACTTGGAATCAATAGACCTTCGTCCTACTCCCTGCTCTGCCCCAGGCTTCCTGAATAACTACTTAATGTCTCTGTGCTTTGGTTTCCTCAACTGTGAAATGGGGCTAACACTGATTCCCCATCTCTACCCAGGATGGGTGGGGGGTGCAATTTATTAATTTGCCCCACCAGCACCACAGTTTCCCATCTTCAAACCTCCATCAAATGGACCTGTCTTCTAACAGCTGTTAAATTGAATGGATTGTACAACCGGTGGTACAATCTATGGGCTTGCTCTGGCACAAAACAAGCCTAGAAATGGGATCAGACACAATATCCAGTTTTGTCCAAGTGAATTGGAGACACTGTCATCGAAGGCACATCTCCATTATCTAATAGCAGAGAGTGAGAGAATGAGGGGCTTGCTTCTTCACTAAGCAGAAGCTGTTTTGTGTCCAGCATGCAGTTCTAGCAGCAACCTCCACAAAAGAGAGAATGGAAGGGATCTGTGCTATTTAGGATAGCAGAATGTGAAACTGTTGCATCATTTTAGTTAGTATACAAATAAATTCCCACACTCTATCCCCTGCTTTTTTGACTGCTCTTGCCTCTGGTGGTCTGGTTTCTCCAATACCATAAGCTGCAAACTGGCTTTACAACCCCTACCCAAATCAACAAGGCATAGGCTTGCCCCTGCCCATGTTCCTGGGTCATGAAATGTAGACACCGAGAAAGAAGAGGATCCATTCCATGTCTGTAACTTCAGGAAAGCTCTCTCTTCTTTTACTCTTCTCTCTACCTCCTCCCCTGCCCTCCCCCCCCCCACACACACACTTGGTGGAACGATGGCTCATCCAGCTCCCACAAGAGACTGAGGGCTTGTCTACACTTACACCGCAGCTGTGCCACTATAGCACTTAGTGAAGACGCTGCCTACTCCAAGGGGAGACCATCTCTCCATCTCCCTGAGAGGCAGTAGGCAAAATCCTATAGTTTATGGATTCACCTAAGCACTGTCTGCGGCGCCCAAAGAGGAATAGTAGTTTGCATTTGTAATCGCCTTTCATCCTGTGATCTCAAAGTACTTAACGAACATCCATTAAGCCTCTCAACACTCTTCAGAGGGAGGGAAGTATCATTCTAACCATTTTACACATGCTGAGGTCAAGTGACTTGCACAAAAGTCCCAGAACAGAGTCAGGAAGAGCGCTCCAGAGCCTAGTGCTCAGAACAGTCCCCACATTCCGTCCCTGAGTGGATGCTCTCAAATCTGAATGTGCAAACTCTAGTTTTCCGCTCCCAGGAAACAAAATCAGTGAGGATCTGACTGGTCCTTAGAGTCTACTGCCGCAAAAAGAAGAAACGTTCTGCTTCCAGCAGTTATCTTTCTTCATTTTAATTAATATTATTGTTACTTGCTGACTCCCAAAACGTAAATAATTTATTTGCACAATTCCTGTTCTTGTGCCACTTCTCTAATGAAATGTGTTCGTTGGGAGCAAAAGGATCCCATTATGAGGGCTTCATTCATGGCACAGTGTTAACAAGGAGAGGGTGTCTGATTTGTATAATCTAGTTAAATAGCTCAGATTGCATAGCCTTAGCCTCCCAGGTTTAATAATCAGCTGAATAAAAGTGGATTGATTTTTTTAACTAATCTTCTTCTTTTGTTAGAGCCACAAGCAACCTGCTGCCTTTATTGTTACCCAGCACCCTTTACCCAACACTGTACCAGATTTCTGGAGGCTGGTGTTTGATTACAACTGCTCCTCCATAGTGATGCTGAACGAGATGGATGCTGCACAGGTAGGTGGATTTCTAATAGCTCAGTCAAGCAGCCTTATTCACAGATCAAAGGAGCTTTGGGTACCCCCAGTTGCTATTCAAAACAGGCAGAAAAGTTGTGAGGAAAAAGGAAACTGCATAGGAATGGGTGAACAACTGTAAGTACAATCCAGAGTGAATCTTCACCCAAAACCAGGAATGCCAGAACAGGAAGGGGAGGGTGAGAGGGAGGTCATGCCGCCCTCACCCCACACACACTTTTTAAAGTGGGAGGGCACGTTTTACCAGCCATAAGGATGAACAACAGGGGGAGGGGGTAGAGAAGAGCAAACGGGGGCAGGGTCTTTGGGGGAAGAGGCAACATGGGAGCAGGGCCTCAGGGGCAGAGGGGGCAGGGGCTTGGGGAGACAGAGCAGTGAGAAGGGAGCCTCAGGGGGCGGCACGGCACTGGGGGGCAGGGCCACGGTTCGGGCATCTGTGGGTCCCCCCGCCACTCCTGCCAAAACTCAAGCTAAACTTTGTGGTTCAGAAGAGCCTAGTTCAATACTTGTACACATTGTTCTTCATCTTTGCCCATTGCTTTCCACCCGCGACCAGACCTGTAAATGCTAAAACACTCTTAACAAGCCTGTTCTTGTGGTATTGCCAGGTGACTGGCAGTAGGACATTTGTGAAATCATATGACAGATCCTTTTTTCTTGAGATCTCCAGTCCAGTTTTGCAGAGTTGGGAAGTTTGGATAATTTTCATGAGATTGTGGAGAAGCACCTGATGTTTTGGGTGCTTTAATCAAAGTGAAACACCAAAGCTTTTGAACGATGACTCATTATGAGAAACTGATTTACGGTCAGCAAAAAGGGAGGAGGGAAGTGGATACTTACTGCACAATTTATTTTTTTTTCCTTTTTTATAAATTGTTTAGTTGGTTGGCAGGCCGAAAATAATTTTCAGTACTAGAGCTTGCAAGGTGAAGAGTGGTTACTCTTGCTACTGCACTGGCATTTGCAGTCAGTCTCATGATGGGTAGTATCAGAAAGGGATGAGAGATCATACATTGTGCACGAAATTTGCTGTATGACATTGCTACTTCACCCATTGTAGTTCTTGTTAAACAGCAGAAGTGGCCTCGGGCACTTTGCACTTTATAACTTAATTCTTCATCTGCTCCTCACTCTTTGCAAAATATTTCCCCCTTGAAGGCAGCAGTTATGATGCTGCCTTTGTTAGTGCTAATGGAAAAACCAATCACATGCTCATCAGGGGGATTCTCCAGGCAGAATGAATGATGTGGGATCTGATTCACTTCTGCTCCTCTCTGCATTAAAGTGCCCCCAGTTCAGCCTTTCTAAAGACCAAGCTGTTGGTTTGACCAGTTTTCGGAGTCCTAAGTGTCTGAAATCTCAAATACGATTTTTCTAGGATCCCTGGTCCCTCAGGACTCATTATGTTCTATCTGACTCATCAAACATGCTTTTATGTCCTGGGAATGAATCCATGGTAGTTTTTAATCTTGTTGGTTGCCCAACAAACTGGAAAGAAACAGTCCTGCACATTCTCTGGAAATATGAAACCTCTGTTCATGGTTATTTTACATTTAGAGTCTGAAAAAATGAAATCCTCCAGCATTAGAACTCCAGTATTTTTGCTGACCACCTTTCACCAGCAATGCTATATCATGCTTTGCTTTTCCTTGAAGTACTTTAAGGGAAGGGGGGGGGGAGATCTGGGCTAGGCCTGGACCAGTGCCAAAAGAACACTGCTAGACCAAGGAAACAATGATGGTTTTAAAGTTACATATCTTGTAAGCCATCAGCACAAGGAATTAGTTTTATATCACTTAAGAGAGTAAGATTTCTGCAAGGAAAAATCAATTGTATCAGGATGTTGCGCTCACCACACTATCTTTGTAAATCATTGTACTTATCTATCTGTCCATAGTTATCTAATCTAAGCATTTATGCTACAATCATCACCATTTTATCAGAGAGACTAGTACTTTTAAAATGTAATTATGAAGACCAGCATGTGGTGTGATGATGACATTACAACATCCCAGAACCATTCTGCAGAAGCTTCAACAATTCTATGGCCATCCTGGCAAGACAGAAACGCTCTTCGCTGGTTGGGTTGATAATGCAGGATCCCAGATGGGTGGCAACTCTCACAGCTCCTATATGTTGAAATGAGGACGTCCAATAGTCAATCATTATATATTAATAATTTATATATTGACATAGTGCAAAACTATACAGGTGTGATCTTCAAAAAGTGAAAGCTGTAATTCCATCCATAGTTTTGTCCATGCATTTGTATGCCTACCTTTGCTTGTGCAGTTGCACACAGATCCAGTATTGGTGTGTATGAATGGGGTATCATACCCAATGTGGATGTAAATGGCTAGTCTGAGAACACAAATGCAAAAAGTGCACAAATGTGAATGTATTGACTTCTGAGGCCTTGCTTTATGGAAACCAAGTTTGTAACATAGCGGTAGGGGAGTACTTTTTCACTTCATCTTCTGTTGAGCCCTGAGTTTTGCTCCCTGAACCATTTGTTCAGCCCAAATCTGACTGTCTTACTAGAACAAATGCTTTGGGAGAAGAACTCAGAACCCATTTGAAAGTATGGAGATAGAGTAAAGCCAGCCTTCAGATAATGAATGGCTTATCAAAATCCTGGCTTGCTTTTTCCTCTCACAGAAAACAGCAAGACATGTAAAGATGGCCCCACCAGTTTCAGGTCCCTATGCATGAAGATACAGAGAGAGCTCAACTCTGATGCAACAGGCATGCACTCACGCCAGGGTGGCTGGTAGTGATGATTGATCCTGAAGAGGTTGAGTTCCATTTCAGATGAGCCTCCAGAAGTTCTAATACTTATCACAGATTTTCAAACTTTCCTAGTTTAAACCCGTAGCTAAATATCTTCACAATAAAGGCTTTCTAATGAGATTTCTCACAAGATTTTTGGAACTACCTAGTTCCAGCCAGGTTGCAGATATCCTGATCGTAGTCTGTCTTGCAGTATTTTGAGACTTCTGAATTCAGCCAAAACCATCAAGTACAAAGGTGTACGATTTTTTAAAGATATCCTAGCTTTAAAAAGAAAACAAAAACACAACACATAAAAAGTTCAGCTGTGATTTAATTTGAGGTGTGAGATGTGTGAGATTTTAAACCAATCTGGTTTGCCCCCTCCCTAGTTACTAGTAAACTCAAAATATAAAAAAGTTGGCTGCACAGAGAAATAAAAGTTCCACTTGGGTTGAGGTGGTGGAATCTCCTTCTTTTGAGGTTTTTAAGGTCAGGCTTGACAAAGCCCTGGCTGGGATGATTTAGTTGGGGATTGGTCCTGCTTTGAGCAGGGGGTTGGACGAGATGACCTCCTGAGGTCCCTTCCAACTCTGATATTCTGTGATTCTATAACTAAGATTAATCTTCTTGGTATTGAGTGTTTTCTCATTAACTCACAATATAAAACCTCTGTGCTTCATATTAAATTCACTCACAGACACTACTCTCTTAACACTTCTTTTAAATCTATACTCCTGTAGAAACTTTATCTGCCAGCCACTTTAAAGGCCAGGGCTTCCATATCTTCTGAAATGCTGTGTTTAGAGTACAGTTCCTGAACTGGGTGTGGGGTTAGAAGAAGAGAGGATTGATAGTTTCCTAGCCTGTACGTGATCTGCTTTCTATTTCTCTTGCACCTTGACTAGCTCTGCATGCAGTACTGGCCAGAGAAAACGTCCTGTTGTTATGGTCCAATCCAGGTGGAGTTTGTTTCAGCAGACATTGATGAGGATATCATCAATAGGATATTCCGTATCTGCAACATGGCCAGGGTAAGATCAGTGACATTCCAGATGATCCATTTATTCATTCATTGGTCATGTTCTGTCAAATACTTGCTCAAAGAGACAAGGAGCAGGGATGCCACCAAATCCCAAGGCCGGGTAGAAATTCCATTGCAGGGTTTTCTTGCTGCCACAGGTGGAATATTATAGCTGCACCCCTCTCCAGGAGGTAGATGACTTCTCAGTAAAATCACAAGGTGAATAATGTGAACTGGATTTCTGTCCTTAACTGGAAAGTGTTCTCTGTATGTCTTGGAGGGCACGTTACCTGCACATTACCTTAATCAACTAGCAGTCAATGTAAAATCATCATTAATTCTGTTAGCTAAACTAGGATATTGTTATCTCCACTCCTTCTCTGCCAACCATTTATGCTGAAGGGTATAGTTGCTCCTATCTCTGAAGTTAGATGCAGTGCTGCTTGGCTAAACTTTTGGGGTTCCCAGTTGCCAATGTGCCCCTATTAATAAGGAACTGTCATCTTTGTAAAATCTTTTCAGTCAGCGTCCATTAGCCCCAACCCTACAGGTGGGGGAAAACATCCCCAACAGTGCTCACAAACCAGGGTTATTTGTACAATGGACTGAAGCACGGTTATTGCACTGCTACAGTGGATAACCTTGGTATTTGTTTTGTTGTTTCAGAACAGATTTCCCACTCAGTTAGGTACTATCCCCATATTTCCTGTTCCTCTCGCTGTTAGAAATGGAGATGCCAGCTGGCCTCTGTAAATGATCCCTGTGCCCCATGTATCCGCCTCTGAGTCTGAGCTTAAGGAACAACTTGGTTATGCCATTAAAGAGGCAGTTGTGGGCTGGTCTGTGCTACTGGTAAAATCACCATGAGGATCTTATACCAGCTCTTTTCCCCCATTGGTTTTTTTGAATGACTGCTTTGTCTCCTCTCTGTATGGTATCACCAACCTCCGACACAGGCGGGAGGGAAAGAGACTAGATATGTTATTCATTCTTCCACCATGAGATGACTGTATTCCTGAATAAAAACAGTTATTTTCAGAGCCTCATTCCCTCCTGGGCCTTTTAGTAGTCTCAACTAAAGCCTCTCCACAAAAATCTTCCTTTTCCTCAAAACCTGAAACCACCCTAATTCTCTGGATATATTTTTCTTTCTTTGGAAAGAGATGAAGGCCTTGCACCTAGCTGCAATGTGCTTCCTTCTGGCCTGTAGCTTAGTTGCACTCATGTTGTTGTTATTAACTTATATACTGATTAGTAGGAATAATTATATATTTTGGTGATGTTAAACAATGCATACGTAACCTGTGACCACTACCCCCTCGCATACCCCTGCTCTTCCTCGTGACCTTTCTGATTGTATAATGGAAGTGGATAATGATTTGTTTTAGCCCCAGGATGGATATCGTATAGTACAGCATTTGCAGTACATTGGCTGGCCAGCATATCGGGACACCCCTCCGTCCAAACGCTCGCTCCTGAAGGTGGTCAGACGGCTAGAGAAATGGCAGGAGCAGTACGATGGGAGAGATGGACGCACTGTTGTCCACTGCCTGTAAGTATGGCTGGGAATACTTCCTATCCTATGATGCAGGGCAAAAAGAATTACTTACAGATGTGGAAATCAGATGGCCAGCCCATACCTGAGCTGGGAAAATTAGGTTAAATTGCAATCAAGACACAAGTGAAGTTAAGTACTGTGATGAATTGTGGTACCATGTGCCACTATTTCCACCATAAATAGGGAGTGGTCACAAAACCACTGCTGCTTGTAGCATTGGGATCTCCACTTGAAGCCCTCTATTGATCCTTTGAACAGGGACTGTGTACTTTTGTCTGTTCAGGGGCCCCAATCCTGATTGGGGTCTCGATGCACTATTGTAATACTAATAATGATTGGTTACAATGAATTGATTAGATACTGAATAGTTTTGAGCATACATCATAAAGGTGGCAAGACTGGTCCATGATGGTCAGTGCAATGTTTATTAGTTAATTCTTGTATAACCCTTTCCATTCGAGTGTCTAAAAAACCCATGTAGAGACTTTAATGAATAAAGCCTCACAAGATTACAAGTGACTTCTGTATTATTATGGTTTTATACATGAGAAAACTGAGGCACAGGGAGGTGAAGTGACTTGCCCACGGTCACTAAGTTTGACAGTGTCTTTCAAGTCACATTCCTATATTCTAATCTCTAGACTGCTGTCTTGCTCATCTTAAAACCCTCTGAAGCTTCCTGCCTGCAGGGGGCCTGCACGTGGTACCTCCAGCGATGCATGCTTTTGCATCTGGAAAAGCACTGCTCTTTGCAGGGTGCTTGCCTCCATGCGCCAGTCCCCTGCATCCCTTTATAAACTGCCTCTTTTCTTCCATGCCTAGGAATGGCGGTGGCCGCAGTGGCACCTTCTGTGCCATCTGCAGCGTGTGCGAAATGATTCAGCAGCAAAATATCATTGACGTGTTCCACATAGTGAAGACATTACGGAATAACAAATCCAATATGGTGGAGTCACTGGTAAGTGTCCCTCCCTTACACACCTCTGTAGGGTGCAGTGAGTAAAGAATTAGTTTTTTTTTTAAAAAAGTACTTTTGGGTACTGCCCAATATGAATTAAATTAGATCAGTCAATTAGAGTGAATGATTTCCCTCAGGTGTGTGTGAGAGTTGCAGTAAGGACAAGCATGAAATGATGAATATTCAGTGTCGTGACTGTATGGGTGTGTCTTTTTCTTCCAGTGACTTTGCACCCTTTTTCTGCTCTTGCCAGTGCTAGAGATGTGCACTTGGGTCTACAAGTTATTAAACGTTTAACTCTTGGAGCCCGATCATGCCAAGTGGAGTGGAAATGGGAATGAAAGATTCTCGGCACCTTGCAGAATCAGGCTGTTAAGAGCTCATTGCTACCATTTTACCACTGGCTTTTTCTTTCTCTTTCAGGAACAATATAAATTTGTATACGAGGTTGCACTGGAATACTTGTGTTCGTTTTAGCCTAGCAGAGAGGGGGGCCTACTGGATTCCAGACCCCCAAGTCTGAAGAACACTTTTTTTCCCGCACTAAAAGGCAGTAATGGGTGTGGGGAGGGCCAGACTCTCCACATTGAAGCAAGGGACAGAGTGTACTGACCTCAATGCCATTGGGAGGACGAGGTGATCCCTGTGTTTGCTGCTGCCTGCTTTCTTTCGGAGCATCTACCGCTTCTTAAATAACCTAGCATACAAATTGGCTAAACAGGAGACGGGCTGGAAGACTCTGCTTTCTAATCCCCTCCAACCTCTTCTCTACCACTTTGGATGTGTATTTTTGCTCTCCTTGATACAAAGGAAAAAAATACTGGATGTTCTGTCTTTTAAACAGCTCCTTTTTCTGTTCTCAAATCCCACCCTTTAATTTTTGAATTTCATGCATCAGCCATTTGGAAAAATGAGAGAACCACAGGGAACATGTGAGACTTTGGGTTACAATTAATCCACCTGACCTATTTTTTGCCAGCGAAAATGCTATCAACAAGAAGTTGACATTCTCTTCCCCTGCCTCCTGTTCTCCCTAGACATAAGACTAGGTGGTGGAACTGGGAAGCTGTTCATGGATTCGCTGCACCAACTACTGCTACACAAGCTTTTCCTTCCAGATCCTGCTTGACGTCCAAGACTGTGCGTGAACTGGTTCCATCTCTCTGATTCATGTTAGTGTCCCGGCTGGTGAAGAAAATCATTTTAAAAAAAAACAGGGTTTCACAGCCATTTGATCAAACAAACCCTCCACCAAACCAGTTGCATTTGGTTTGTAAGTCCGGTGATTTTTTACCACATTTTTCAAGCATTTGCTGGGGTGCAGTGTCTCTTTACAAAGAAGAGCATAGAGTAGATATGTTGATGATGATGATATACTCTAGATAATTATTATTTATATTTCTGTAGGACCTAGGAGACCTAGTCATGGACCAGGCTCTCATTGTGCCAGGTACAGACACAGAACAGAAAGATAATCCCTTCCTCCGAGTTTACAATCTAAGCGTATGTCTCTAATGCAGCATTATTCTGGGTTTTTACCTGAGTTTTAGCCCAGCCCCTCTCCCCACCATCCACACAGGAAAACCTCTGACCTGATTATGGAAAGGCTTTAAATCCAGGCTAGCTGACCCAGCTGGGGATGTGGATTAGAGTGCAGGGTCCTCTTTAACTCTATCCAGAACCTGATCACTTTGCAGTGAGGATGGAGGTTAAATCACTTATGTGCTGATAGCCCTCCAATGCCCTGCCCACAATTCCTCCCCAAGGACAGAAAGTTCTTCCGCAGTTGACTTGGAAGGAATCTTAGAGCATCTCAAAACAAATAACATGGGATATGCCTCCAGGCACACATGGGTGAGTGCAGAAGCAGCGAGGACACACTAGCATGGGTAGATCTTTGTAGTGGGGATGCTCGCACCTGGGTTAACTGTGCATTGTAGACATAGCCATCGTATGATTTTAATTTGGGGATTGACTAAGGTTTCTATGCTGTCTGTTCCCAAACTGTTGTACAATCAGACCTAATTGCGTGATTATTCAACTCTCCAGGCCATGAGATTTCTAAATGGTAGTTCATTCAGGCTGTATGAAAGGTAATGCACATTAAACACAAAACTAGTTTGTTGTTTGCTGGGTTTGTGAAAAGGTAAGAAAAAATGTTTCAGCAGCACAGGAAACTTTACATCACGAGCAAAAAGGTATTTGCTTTGCTCTGCAAAAATTTCTGCATTAAAATTTCCATTAATTCTTTGAAACAAGCCCTGGGTATGTGTTGCCTTATCCTGTAGCCCAGTCTTATCTCTTTGTAGCTATAGAAAAGTGTGTTAACTGGTTAATCAGAAAAAGGTTGGATTTTGATCTCAGAGTGTAAATTGATTTTGATGAACCAGATCTTTCAGTATTCAGGATTTTTATTTATTTAGCTATCTATCTTAAGACAGCAGAGATAAGGTGGCTGCATTTGGCTAGATTCTGGGAAATGCAGACTTTTTAAAATCTAGACTTTCCATCAAAGCTTGACTGAAGAAAAGAGTTTAACAAAACTGTAACTCGTCATCCTTCAACATAGTTTTCCCACCCTTTTGTCAGTACCCAGATCCTTCAACCCCAGAGCCTGTGGTTTGACCCTCTGTCACATTGATTTTCCACATGTGGAAAGCAGTGTAACTATGTCTAACTTCAGCTTTCAGTCACTGGATTGCATTATACCTTTGACAATCAAGCAGACAAAGATATAACACAGTCCAATGGCTGGAAGGTGATGTTATACAAATTCAGACTGGAAATAAAGTGTAAATTTTTAACAGTGAAGGTAATTAACCATTAGAACGATTTACCCAAGGTATGGTGGGTTTTCCATCACTGGCCATTTTTAAATCATGATTGGATTTGCTGTAGTTCAAAGAGAATTATTTTGGGGAAAGTTCTGTGGCCAGACTCGATAATCACCAGGGCTCTTTCTGGCCTTAGAATCTATGAATCAGTATTATTTTTCTTTAAAAATATATTATCATGTATCTTAGTTCAGAAGGCACCCTTGCGTAGTTGCCACTCTTTAGATCTCCCACGTTATCAAGAGACTTTGGATTTTAGGCTTGTCTTTACAAGTGAGTGTCCTGAAATAAGGTAGCAAGTAAGTCCAATTTTGTCCCTGATGTATCCTGCATGCTGTACAATACCTGTGTCCACCCACACCCATTCCCTTGTGCCCTTTTTGGGCTGGTTCCTTCTATTGTTTGCAACAAAAACCCAAGATGATGTCGTGTAACTGTAGAGGAGTGTTTCGTGCGTGCGTGCCATTTGATGAAAACAGAACTTCTCTTTTTGCCACCCTCCATGCACAGAATCCTGAAAGACACTAAGAAGAGTGGAGAAACTGTTGGGCAGGGACTGAACAGGCAGGTATGAAAATGAGTGGTTAGGTGACAGGTAGCGCATGTTGTAACTATGTGGTGCAACAAGTGTGCTGCTAACTTCTACGTGCACGGAGGAGGAAAGGAAGCACCACACAGCAGGCCAGGATTTTTCTCCAACTGCCAAAATGAAGCTGGGCTTTGTCTAAATTGGCACCTTCACCGCTAAAACTTTTGTCGCTCGGGGGGCGTGAAAAAACACCCCTCTGAACGACCAAAGTTTTAGCGACGAAAAGCTCCAGTGTGGCCAGCGCTTCGTCAGCGGGCGACGTGCTCCTGTCCACGACGTACGGCCCCTCGTTGGGGGTGGTTTTATTTTGTCTCCAGGAGAGCTCTCGCCTGGCAATAAAGAGCGGCAACACAGCACGCCTTACGGTGGCATGGCTGCAGCACCACAGCTGCACCGTTGTAAGAGTCGCAGTGTGGACGTTGCCTCGGTGTCGGTTCATTCAGTCCAGAAAGTTAAAGGGAATCAGATCCCTTGCAAAGAAAAAGTGCTGTGTGTTTGAACACAGTTCACTCATCTTCAGCCAGGCTGTTTAAAAAGAATTGCTTTCTCTTCCTTGAATTATTCCTGTTCGGGGGCCTTGGTTGTGTGTTTGTTGGTTTGGTTTTATTATTATTATTATTTTGTTAGCCCTTTCATAACGTAAGTTTTCTTAAGACCCCATCACTGCTTACAATGAAGTTATGATCTTGAAAACGTCACCTAGTGTTCAGTGCGTGTGCTATAGTTGTACGTGGAAATTCACAAGAACATACTAGCAATTAAGGTCTCTGTCTGAATCAGAAATAGGACACACTGGATAACAGTTCAAACAAAAAGGGGCAGAAAGGTGGGCAATAAGATCTGTCAGTGGCAGAAAGGAAGATAAACAGGAATGTGAGAAGCGGGGGCAGCTCCAGGCTTAGGGGTAGCATGAAAGAAAGTGGATACATAGACAAAAATAGCAGCTACAAAGGAGGCTTGGGTGGAGAGAAGTAGGTGTCAGACTTGAGAACAGAGCATAGGTGGGAGCAGAGTTGTGTAAGGCCTCAAAGGTACAGGTTTGAGTTCATTGACTTGGCACTCAACACATGACTCAATCTAAATAGATAAAAGAGGTGACGGGAATTGTATAGAGGGACAGGGGGATGAAACACTACCAGCCAAGGTAGAGCATAAAGTTGCTTATTAAATCCTATTTGAAATACTGTATGCAGTCCTGGTCACCATACCAAGGAAGCTATTGCTGCCTTAGAGAGTGCAGCACACAGCAAAAAAGATACCACCAGGTTAGAAGAATGTAAATATGAGTTAAGGTTATCGGAGTTGGGTTTATTCTTCTTGGAGAAAAACAGAAGCTTTGAACTGAGCTAACAGAGGCTTTATCAATCCTGAAAAGGATTGCCTTTAGTAAGGCTTTTGATATAGTCCCCAATGACATTCTCATAAGCAAGCTAGGGAAATATGGACTAAATATAACTACTATAGGATGGGTGCATAACTGGTTGAAAGACCGTTCTCAAGGAGTAGTCCTCAGTGGTTCACTGTGAAACTCTAGTGGGGTGCTGCAAGGATCTGTCCTGGGTACAGTACTTTTCAGTACTTTCACTGATGACTTGGATGATGGAGTGGAGGGTAGCCTTATAAAATTTGCAGATGTCACCAACCTTGGAGGGGTTACTAGCACTTTGGAGACAAGGATAAGAATTCAAAATTATTTTGATAAATTGGAGAATTGGGCTGAAATCAGCAAGATAAAATTCAATAAAGACAAGTGCAAAGTACTGTAATTAGCAAGGAAAAATCAAATGCACACATACAAAACTGGGAAATAACTAGGCAAGGCAAGGCAACAGTAGCACAGAACAGGATCTGGGGAGTGTAGTGGACTGTGTGACAATAGTGTGATGCTGTTGTGAAAAAGGCAAATCCTATTCTGGGATGTATTAGTGTAATATATAAGATACAGGTGGTAATTCTGCTCTGTGTGGCACTGGCGAAGCCCCAGCAGGAGTACTGTTCACGTTTTGGGCACCATATTCAAGAAAAATGTGGAGAAAGGGGAGATAGTCCAAAGTAGAGCAACAAACTGATAGGACATTTAGAAAGCATGACTTAAACGGTTGAAAGAATTGGGCATGTTCACTTTAGAGAATAGAAGGTTGGGGGGGCATCATAAGTCTTCAAATGTGTAAAAGAGGGATGGTGATCGACTGGTTTCCATGTTCACTGAGGGTAGGACAAGAAGTAATTGGCTTTGCAGCAAGGGAGATTCAGGTTAGAGATCAGGAAAATCTTTTTAACTCTAGGGACAGTTAAGCACTGGAACACATTACTAGGGAGGCTGTGGAATCTCCATCACTGGAGATTTTAAGAACCGGTTAGACACATACCTGTCAAGGATGGTGTAGGCATACTTAATCCTGCCTCCATGCAGGGGTATGGACCAGATGGCCTCCTGAGGTCCATTCCAGTCCTACATTTCTATGATTCTTTGAAAAACACTAGAGGAATTTATTTGAGGAATCCATTTTTTCATTTGAAAAATAGGAAAATTTAGTATTGACAATATTTGACCAATTCTAATGACGAGTCTTTATCCTAGTTTACAACCGCTCCTCAATGTCCATAGCGTGCTGCTTATGGATGGCACAATACTGCCCTGGTGATAATCTAAACTTCAAGAAACTAGGAGCAATTAAGGATATAGGAAGAACTCATGCAAAGGCTAATTAATATGTGGGATAAATTGCTCAGAAGATAACTGAAACAAAGAATCCAAGGGATAACTAGATGAGTTGCTGTAGATGAAAGAGACTAAGGGTTTATTTAGATGAGCAGTTAGTGCAAAGCAAGCTGAGGTTTGAATCTACTGTGTAACAGCATGCTGTGTGCTAGGTGCGTGTGGCGACCCTGCTACCACACACTAAAAGTTCCCTAGTGCACTTTGATCTACCCTGCTTTGAAACAGGAGGAGATGAAAGTACAGTAGGGAACATTTAGTGTGAGGCAGCAGGGTCCACATGGACAGTTAACATGACACGCTCGTAAGCTGTAGCTTTAGGTCTTAGCTTGCCATGCATTAACTGTTCGTATAGACAAACCCAGAGCGGTTCGATCTAATTGCCTTCTGTGACGAGATAACTGGCTCTGTGGATGAAGGGAAAGCAGTGGACGTGTTGTTCCTTGACTTTAGCAAAGCTTTTGACACGGTCTCCCACAGTATTCTTGCCAGCAAATTAAAGAAGTATGGGCTGGATGAATGGACTATAAGGTGGATAGAAAGCTGGCTAGATTGTCAGGCTCAACGGGTAGTGATCAATGGCTCCATGTCTAGTTGGCAGCCAGTATCAAGTGGAGTGCCCCAAAGGTCGGTCTTGGGGCCAGTTTTGTTCAATATCTTCATAAATGATCTGGAGGATGGTGTGGATTGCACCCTCAGCAAGTTTGCAGATGACACTAAACCGGGAGGAGAGGTAGATACGCTGGAGGGTAGGGATAGGATACAGAGGGACCTAGACAAATTGGAGGATTGGGCCAAAAGAAATCTGATGAGGTTCAACAAGGACAAGTGCAGAGTCCTGCACTTAGGACGGAAGAATCCAATGCACCGCTACAGACTAGGGACCGAATGGCTAGGCAGCAGTTCTGCAGAAAAGGACCTAGGGGTTACAGTGGACGAGAAGCTGGATATGAGTCAACAGTGTGCCCTTGTTGCCAAGAAGGCCAATGGCATTTTGGGATGTATACGTAGGGGCATTGCCAGCAGATCGAGGGACGTGATCGTTCCCCTCTATTCGACATTGGTGAGGCCTCATCTGGAGTACTGTGTCCAGTTTTGGGCCCCACACTACAAGAAGGATGTGGAAAAATTGGAAAGAGTCCAGCGGAGGGCAACAAAAATGATTAGGGGACTGGAACACATGTGTTATGAGGAGAGGCAGAGGGAACTGGGGATGTTTAGTCTGTGGAAGAGAAGAATGAGGGGGCATTTGATAGCTGCTTTCAACTACCTGAAAGGGGGTTCCAAAGAGGATGGCTCTAGACTGTTCTCAGTGGTAGCAGATGACAGAACAAAGAGTAATGGTCTCAAGTTGCAGTGAGGGAGATTTAGGTTGGATATTAGGAAAAACTTTTTCATTAGGAGGGTGGTGAAACACTGGAATGCGTTACCTAGGGAGGTGGTGGAATCTCCTTCCTTAGAAGTTTTTAAGGTCAGGCTTGACAAAGCTCTGGCTGGGATGATTTAATTGGGGATTGGTCCTGCTTTGAGCAGGGGGTTGGACTAGATGACCTCCTGAGGTCCCTTCCAACCCTGATATTCTATGATTCTATGGGGATTGGGGTGGGGGGGGGCCTTAAAAAAAGAAGCAGGTATATTAGAGCAGCAGGTCTTCTCATAATTTTTTTTACCTTCACGTAATACCTTCAAAATTAGATCATGGGCCAATTATTTATTATTTTCAAATTTCTTTTGGTGTGGAACAGCGCACGTTATATAGTGTATATGGACCTGCAGCACTAAATGCATGGCAAATCACGAACAGTTTCTCCATTCGTGGGTGCGTTGTCACATCCATGTCATTTGTGGGATTCAGCCAAATAACGAGTGTCATCAGGCTGCCACCGCAATGAGTAGACACAAGTAGTCCCATTGAACTCACTTTGGAGACCCCTAGACAAATTCTGCCTTCAGGTACACTAATGCAAGCCCAGTGGAGTGTAAATGAGGCCAAAATATGGCCCTTGGCGTCTAATTCTAACTTAAGGCCCAACTCCTCCACCTTCACTCACATTCAATGCTACCTCTCACAGGTGAGTAGTCCTGTTGAAGTCTGCGGGACTACTTACAGGAGTAACATATGTAAATAAGCATGACAGAACTGAGTCCTTGGGTAGCAAATAAAGGTGATTTTGGTGATCTCGTTCTTGTCCACAATTTGACATTACCATTTTTCCCTGCTCAAGAGAAACTTTGGACTGGAATAACAAGAAGTGCTTTAGTTCATGACTGAAGTGCTTTGACAGAGTTGTATAGAACAACTATATGGAACATAGTGTCTCCTTGCACCATGCCTTGTTCCAGCCAGTTTTCAGTGCTCTGCTGGGTATCACTCTAATCAAGTTTTAAGCATTTAAGTTTGTAATATTTACCCCTTGTCCTGTGTGCATGAGCCATTCGGCCAAATAAAAGATTTTCACATCTATAGAAAAGCTGTAGTCTCTGGCTGTTCCCAGTACTCTAAGCCATTCTTACATATCCCATAACATCAGCACTCAACGTATCTTAGTTCTTTGAGCCATGTATTGTGTGTACATTTGTACACACACAAATGTACACCCATATCGATACAGGGAGATGTGATTTACAGACCAACGTCTAATATCTAATGACAACTAGAAGTGATAATTTATATCTTCAAAGATATAACTGAACCGAAAATAGTAAATGCTGTCACTGTTCCTCACACACAAATACTCAAAGAGAATGACCAAACGAAACACAAAATGTTACATAGAAATTTTGGGGACCACCCAGGCTCCTATAAATATGGTATTTTGAACCCTTCCCAAACATTGATGTTTCATGCTTTTGGAACAGAAGGGGTGGCCTATTATTATTTCTGTTCCAGGAGGTTGGGTGGGAGAAACAGACAACACTGGAAAGAGATGTTTAACTGGAAACTCTCACTGTGTTCTTTCTCTGTGTTATTCTCCTACACAACCCTTTACATTATGTGCTGCTCTGTTCATGCTAAAATCAGAAGAATGCAGGTTATACCAAATCCCAATGTTTGAAGCCCCACCCCCACCCCCACCCCAGGGCCCAAATGGAGAGGTCATGGCATAGCAGAAGGAGGAGAAGGTTTGGGAGATAGTACACCGTGAAACAAACAAAAGAAGGGGTGCTCAAGCTGAGGTCTTTGAAATTTGAAGTATCCTTGTTTGTAAAACTGAGAACATGATCAAGTGCTCTCCCAGGCATGCATGTTACTACTGTATTCATATATGGGATGCGGGTGTGGGAGGGTGGAGACAAGTGAGTTGTCTCCCAGGAAAATTTAATTGCCTTGCAATTAATTTAAAGAGGTCAGCATTATCCGGTGGTAAAATTCCTGTGGTACAATTACTATTGATATGTCCCTGTGCTGTATCCACAGACAGTAGTTCAAACACTGCCAGGGTCATCTCAGAAGCCTGCTGAGGGCCTGCTGTACTTCCAAGGGTTCTTTCAGTCTCTTTAGTTTGGAACAGATGTGCTGTGTGTGAGGGTGTGTGGATGGGGATGACAAGGAGGCAGATGGGCCATCTGATGAATGGTACTTTGCATAGATGCAAATCTCAGAATGGCTATTGGCTGTGCATTAGCCCACTAACGGCTGCCAGAGGGCTTTGGATATTGTGTCTCCTAGAAGATCCCGGAGCATGTGGTAGAATAAAATGCTGTCAGCCTCTCTTCTCCTCCCCCTCGCCCCCGCAATTCATTAGCCAAGGTTGGGTGCTCAGCTCATCAAAAGGTAAACTTTAGGCATTCAATACCTCAGTGACAGTGATCCTGTTAATTCCCATGTGTGTTATTATTTAGATGTTGGTCTTCTACAAATTCCTGACATACATTTAACAAGACAAAAGTATCACCTGTTCCTTGAAGTTTTATCTCCAAAAGAACCTGGTACTTCTTTCTCCAGGTACAGGGCCAGGTTTATAAGCCAGCAGCATCAATGGTGGGCTGCTTCAGTTATTGGGGTTGCCACTGGAAACAACCACCATGCTCTATTTATTAACCTAGCATATCAAAATTTGCCCTGCTGTTCCAGGGTTTTACCAGTTTATACATATATACTAGAAGAATGTAACATTTTCCATGATTTAAAACAGGAATGTGGGTAGGTCTATGTTAGATCACAGCACGTTTCAACAGAGGAGCTGCTCTTATATGTCAGAATTTGGACCTCTCAAATGTGAAAACCCATTGAGGCCAGAAAGCAAGTTAAGCAAAATAATGTTCTTACCATAAGGTCAAATGTTGCTGCCATTGAAGTTAATGACAAAACCCTTGCTGACATCAAAGGGCCCCTAGTCTTGAGACTTTCTTTGCTGAGTTAGAAGATTTGCCTCTCTCTGTAAAAAACGTCCATTGTACTGTGTAAACTACAAAGATTACCCCACAATTTCACATCAAGCTGAAACTTTTGGCAGCACCTTCAGTTTGTAAAAGCCTTGCAGTTCTCAGTACCCCCTCCTCTGCATCATCTCAAAGCATCTAGCAGATTCTCTGATTCACATTACCCTTAATGATCCTCTGGAAACAGAAAACTATGCACTAGAATGAAAGACCTGGATTTACCATTAGGCACAGGGAATTCCAGATGGCTGCATTTGTAATGTAAACTATTAATGTGAGAGGGAATAGGAAGATTCTGCACTAAAATGAATGATAAATGCTGGTGATTGTAGGGGCTTTCCTGACAGAACAAATGGTTGATATGGAGAAAAGAATCAAATGCACCAAAATGGGAACCACATGGCCTCTATAAATCTGGTATTTATAACCATTACCCAACCCCAGCTGTATCATGCTTTTGGAACAGAAGGGGAGGTCCAAATAGAAGTGTGTACTCGCTAGGACCAATTCTGATCTCATGTACACTGGATTTCCATCAGCGTAGTGGTTAATGGAAGTTACCAGTGTGAGATCAGAATCAGGGCCTAAGACTATACCAAATATTTGTTTATACTATAGCAGATATACCTCTAATGTGTAGCACTATGGAGGACTATTTGCTGGTTATATCCATCAGCCAGTGTTTTCTGACTGGAGGCCTCATGTTTTTCATGTGTAGTTGCTGAAGGGGCTGTGTTTGCAGAATGGAGAATTGAGCATATGGGAGCCCTGCCATCACTCAGCATACTTTTATGAGTTTAGCTACTCTAAAAATCATCCCAAGGCAAATGGTGACGTTAAAAGCTTTGAACAATATCAAGTGATATCTGTAGTGTATGCAAAACAGAACTGGCATTACCCTCTCATCTTTCTCCGCCATTCTTACTTCTCCAGCACTGCTGCTCTCCTTTATGCCAAAAGATTTAGCTGCAATCTCACTGTGTTCAACTCTTGCAAACTATATCCACCTCCCCATTGACCTGTTCACCGTCCTGCTGAAACTGAAATGTATGGGCCTCACTCAAAGGTTCTTTACCAGAGTTGTTGCCACTTGACCCAGTTTCAATGCCCCGGATGCAACTAGTTTGCTGGCTGGGAGTAGTGTTGCATGAGAGCTAAAATCTCTTTGCTGTTGCGGTTTCCCCCAGTCCTCATGATTACCAGTAAAGCTCACTTGTACAGTTTGGATGTTTGATAGATAAAGCACAGTACAATAAAAATGAAAAAAAATACTAAAAAACTCAGCACTGTGCATTCAGTGTTTTTTTCCTTTCTGGCTTAAAAGAAGGAAGGTAAATAATGTCAAGTCAATGAATATCAGACATATTTTTTGACTGTACATTATAGTGAAGTGTAATTTTTTTTTATGACTGCGAATCCATCTTATTTATTCTTGTAAATGTTCCCAGACAATGTTTGTAATATGGGCTGTGTTGCAAATCCATACAATAAATCTGTGATCCAAGATGAATGGTTTACTAAGAGACTCTTGCCTTGGTGCCTTTTTTTGGGGGGGGGGGGAGGGGGAAGGCCTGGAGTTCCTCCAGAGTATGTGGTAGAAAGATTGTGAAGAAAAGCTAGGAAGGGTGTTGAGAGACCTGCTTGTTGTAGTGCTGATGGGCACATGACTTTACATGATTGTTAAGGCTCACAACAGAAGCAAAGAGAAGGGTTAACATACCAGCCACCCTATTCTGGTTAAGATGTTTACGGCTGCTGTTTGTTTTGGATCTTGCTTTATAGAAGAACTAAGTATTTATGAAAGTTAGGGATTTGATAAACACCTCCTGAAGCCAACCAAAGTTTTCCAAAGCTTTCCCATCATTAGCTTACTATTTGCTATACCTCCCTGCTACTCAAGTTTTGGATCTCTCCTGAATAGCAACTGCTAATACTGTGGTGGATTTTTTTTTCCTGGCATCTGCTATGGAATAGCAAGACACCACAAGAGAACTTTTGAAACAAATAAGACAATGCTTTCAACCATTCACCAACCAGGTGCAAGCTTATTGTTTTCCCTGCCTGTAAACCAACAAAACTTAGGGGCTTGCACCTCACTGTATGATTCAGTTAGTCAAAATGGAGGGCGCAGACTATCACTCCCAGACTAGGAAGGACCCACTGTTCTCCAGAATACAAACAAAACAGTGCACCATGCACAGAGTTTTTGTATTTCATGCTGCAACACTATAGATTGTCAATATCTTGACCTATATAAACTCGCTACAATTATACAGGGAGGGTTCATGTTAAAATGACTATCACAATAGACTGGAAGAAGGAAGCCAAAGAAATCCATTTGCCACAACTCTGGCTTGAGTTTGTGGGAGGAAGCCTTGCTGAAACAGGCCACTCTGTGCTTGGTGAAGACATCTATATGATCATAATGACTGACATTTCATTTAACTCATCCTGTATCTAAGGATCTCAAAATATTTTACAAGCACTGATTACTAACAAATCTTTGTATTTACATTTAATTAGCCAATAAGGCTATTGAAGGTTCTAGGCGTTCTAACATGCTGTTAGTAATAGAACAAATATCCCATGAGTATTAAAGAAAATTATTCAGACACTCAGCCAGTCATCTCCCAAAAAAACACACCTCCTTTCCACCCCTGCATTGTCTACCTACCACCTTTCACCTGGAGTTATTGGTGCTTTTAAATGATGATCTCATTGTACAGATGCGGAAACCGACACACACAAAGGTGCAGCAATTTCCCCCGTATACTGGAGGTATTCCTGAGATTAGAACCCACGAATCCTAGCTCCCAGTCAAATGCTCTAAACATTAAGCATGCTGCTGCTTCACATCTGTGTCTGTAGCAGGTGGTGAGATGTCTAACACAAGAGCTAAAAGGTTACAATGACTTTCCAGATTGCTCATTGTCTTCCCATTCAGCCATCAGCTGTAGACCTTCCCCCCAGTAGTAGTGCGTATGATAACCTATATGTTTATATGGTAACATTTAAAGGTCTGTTACATATGGCAGGTACTTGATTCTGAGTTGGGGCTATCAAAAACTGTTTGAGTTTTTTTCTAATACTAGACAACTTGACATTGTGTGTGTACATACAAGGTCAATGGTCTCAGTATTCTACTTACCAGTTGTTACATGCAGCAGCTGCTGCTCATGAATTCTTGGGAGTTCCCCATTTGAAGAATCTAATTCTGACAGTTTCAAATGATAAATGCCAAACTCTAGATTGCAATACATTTTTCATGCACACCAACTTTCTATAGGACATATTAGGTAAAAGGTACGCTATGAGGTATTGGGTAATATGGTGTTAACACCCAGGTGGCTTGTGCCCAACTCTTTTGGGAAAGCCCCTTGTGCACTTTTTCAGCCTTCAGGGTATTGATAGCTTCCTGTGTGTTTGGGCATTGTGGGTGTTGCATTTCATATTAAAAGTATATTTATAAATAGCTTACATATTTAATTATTAATAGGTGCTTTAATATATGGTGAATTAATTGTTGTAAATCATTTGTGCCACAGTTCAATAGGTTGCTGACCAGTCTCAAACACCTACTGATGTGCTTATAAGCATCTATAACATGTTCCATGTCTGAAACATGCTTAACACCTAGTAATCCTTTATTAACCTGTTGTAAATGTACCCTTAATATAACATGTAACATTGTGGTGCTTTCCTTCAAATAGTGAAAGAGCCTCTCCAATATAGATCTCAGGGTTCTCTAAAATGGTGGTGAGAGAAGGCCCAGGGTGTAAAGAAGACTGACTAACCACACAGAATATTGGTTTGAAACTGGACCAACATAGGAGCTTCTGTTGCCCCAAGAGAAACTCATTGACTTCAGTGTGCTCACACCAGGGATGGATTCCGTCCATGGTATTTTATGTGGAGTCAGAATAGCATCAGAGTTTGCACTAAATGGCCCCTCTGTTTTGACTCTCAAGTTTACATGAGTAGTTCTTCAATCCAGATTCAGGCTCCGATCAAGTCTCTATATGCCCTCTCAAAGAAATCTCAGCTCGGGTCTCCATTCCCCCACTAGACCCACAGCTGGCTCACATAGAATCACCACCTGTGAAATTAATGAGGATAGTCCTGGGGTAAGGTAGCACTCAACATGAGTAAAAATGGAAGAATTGGGCCCTTAGAAAATGAAACAATTAACCATGGCACTCTTCAAAAGCTGGCAACTAGACTTTCAGTAGCATTATGGTTTTAATTACATCACAAGCCACAGGGACCATAACCTAGCACTGTTGAACAATAAGAGTAAGTACGATAATGATCTACCCACATCTCTGTATAATGAGACAGCATAATTTCTCTGGTTCAGCTAAAGTATTAACAGCCTTATGTTGAGGAGGATACATCCATTGCACATGACTGCACCAACCAAGTTTGTTTTGTTTTGCCAAATCCTCCTCCTAACAACTGCAGACATGACAAAATGTCCTTTAAAGAACCAAGCTACTGGATGGTTTTGTCTGTCAAGGTTTATACAACCCATGGCACTGACAATGAAAAAAAGGGGCTGTCTAGCAAAACGCTGCTGACATGCAAAGAACTGAAATTATTGTTTATTTTGGTGCTATGGAGCTATCTAGTGAGAAAAAATAGGCTTTGACAGAGGAGGTAATGAACCACCTTAGGTTTGTGTGCGTGTGTCATAAATATCAAGGGAAGGGTAACCACCTTTCTGTATACAGTGCTATAAAATCCCTCCTGGCCAGAGGCAAAACCCTTTCACCTGTAAAAGGTTCAGAAGCTAAGATAACCCCCCTGGCACCTGACCCAAAATGGCCAATGAGGGGACAAGATTCTTTAAAATCTGGAGGGCGGGGAACAAAGGATTTGGTCTGTCTGTGTGATGCTTTTGTTGGGAACAGATCAGAAATGCAAGCCTTCCAACTCCTGTTAAGTTAGTAAGTAATCTAGCTAGAAAATGCGTTAGATTTTCTTTTGTTTAATGGCTGGTAAAATAAGCTGTGCTGGAGGGAATGTATATTCCTGTTTTTGTGTCTTTTTGTAACTAAAGGTTTTGCCTAGAGGGATTCTCTATGTTTTGAATCTGATTACCCTGTAAGGTATTTACCATCCTGATTTTACAGAGGTGATTCTTTTACTTTTTCTTCTATTAAAATTCTTTTTTTAAGAACCTGATTGATTTTCCATTGTTCTTAAGATCCAATGGTTTGGGTTTGTGTTCACCTGTACCAATTGGTGAGGATTATTAACAAGCCTTCCCCAGGAAAGGGGGTGTAGGGCTTGGGGGGGGATATTTTGGGGGAAGACGTCTCCAAGTGGGCTCTTTCCCTGTTCTTTGTTTAAAACGCTTGGTGGTGGCAGCATACTGTTCAAGGACAAGGCAAAGTTTGTACCTTGGGGAAGTTTTTAACCTAACCTGGTAAGAATAAGCTTAGGGGGTCTACCCTAGAGTTCAGAATGGGGAAGAAACCTTGTCAGTGTGCGTCCCTGTATATAATTATCCTGCTCTGATAAAAATGCTAATATACCTATTATAATACATAAACAGCCGAGTTTACACATGTTTGTATGACATATGTACTATCATAATAAGCAGCACAAATTCCTATCTTCCTCGTGGTATAAATTTCAGACTAGAGATAGGCCCCCATCAAAACTAATAACACAAAAAACCCAAACAACTTTGGTTCTAGATCTAACTGATGTGGCTCATTCTCACTTGCTTTTATCCTTTCCAGACATGACTAAGCTTGTTCCAAACCAATGGTGATAATATTTGCATAGTAATTAATACATTTCAAAGCAGAGACAAATTGTTTTAAACTCATATACTTAAAAAAAAATTCTTTCATGGTTTATTTTTGACCCCAGCTCTCTGTGGGTCTCTCCCTATGCACCTTCCACTGCAATCTGCTGTCTATGAAAAGAAGCTATGGGTCTGATTCACCACTGCCTCATGCTACTTGTAGTCATTTGTACCAGAGCAAAAATCAGTATAAACTACATCCTTCCTGGTTTGATAGCACTTTGCACCAAGGCTCTGCACCTGCAAGCATTTGCACACTTGCTTGGCTTTGAGCACGTGAGTAATCTTAGCCATGTCGATGGGACCTGCTCATGCTTAAAGTTAAGTATTTGCTTCAGAATTTGCAGGACTGGGACCTAACTTTGCACACGTTCAAATGACTAAGCAAGGTGCAACAGAGTGGAGAATCAGGCTGCATGTGACTATGCTAGTACATGCAAGCTACTAATTTAATACCTACAAATGACACACTAATCATACCAGACAGAACAACTTTTGGACAGAATGTTTCACACAGAAGTGTGTTTAGTAGTAGGTCAGAATTTTACTCTCTCAGGTCTGGGGAAGGCAGTGTTAACTTTTTTTCCCCAGTGCTATGTTTATTTTGTTGCTTTGGCTGCTGCTAATTCTTGCTTTTAAAATAACAATCCCATTGTGGAGCCAAACTGGGACCCTGAATGCAACATGGTGAGTAGTGGCTTGGGATGT